ACCAAACATGGGGTTCATTCTTGGGAAAGCAAAAGTTGCTACCTACAAGTGGTCACACTATTCCTCGACTTGAACTATCTGCAGCCGTATCAGCAGTTGATATCACACAAACTATCGTGGATAATTTAGATTTACACATAGACACCGTGAAATTCTACGCAGACAGTAAAGTGGTCTTAGATGACATCAGTAACGAAACAAGAAGGTTCTTTATCTACGTCGCCAATAGAGTAGAGAAAATAAGGAAATTTAGCTCTCCAAGTCAATGGAATTATGTACCAACGAACCGTAATCCCGCAGATTCGGGAACAAGGTCGGTACCAGCCCACGAAATTCATAGTAGTGAGTGCATGGTTATTGGGACCGAGACAACTTCTTTCCTCAGAACAGGAGGAGAATTCCGAGGACATATATCAACTAATAGATCCAGAGGAAGATGGAGAAATCCGCGCAACTGTTAATGTTGCAAAGACTTTTGCCACAACTGAGCGTAAAGCTATCGGAACTGAAAGATTCAACCGATTCTCCAACTGGACATCACTTGTTCGAGCAATAGCCTCTTTGGAACGTTTCTCCCGTTTACACGGGTCAAAACAGGCAGAATCGGTGACCTCTCTTGAAAGCTTTTCGAATGCCGAAAACTTCATTTTAATGTCCGCTCAGCACGAAGTTTACGGAGAAGAAATAGATAACATTCGACGCAAGGAACAAATTCATAAGCGAAGCCCAATAGCTAACCTCAATCCGTTTTTGGACAAAAGAGGACTGTTACGAGTAGGAGGCCGTATTGTCAAATCTGACTTAAACCTCCGTGAAAAGAAACCTTTGATCGTCCCTGGACGCCATCATATAGCGACACTATTAGTCCGACACTACCATGACAAGATAAAACATCAAGGACGCCACTTCACAGACGGAGCGATTCGATCCGCAGGATTGTGGATCGACGGAGCAAAACGCTTGAACTCTTCTATTATTCACAAATGTGTGACATGCCGCAAACTCAGAGGAAAAACTGAGTATCAAATCATGTCTGATTTGCCAGAGGACCGTCTTGAACCATCACCTCCGTTCACTAACGTTGGAATCCACACCTTTGGACCATGGACAATTGTTTCACGTAAAACCCGTGGTGGATACGCCAACTCCAAACGTTGGGCAATTCTATTCACCTGCTTAGTGACGAGAGCTGTTCATATCGAACTCATCGAGGAAATGAGCTCTTCAGCCTTTATAAAAGCTGTCTGAAGATTCACAGCCATTAGAGGCCAAGTCAAGATCTTTCGATCCGACCGTGGAACTAACTTTATTGGCGCAATCGATGACTTGAAAATCGACTCAGTCAACGTTGAGGACAGACCCCTTAAGAACTTTCTGTACAATTCCGGTACAACTTGGATCTTCAATCCGCCGCATTCGTCCCACATGGGTGGAGCCTGGGAGAGAATGATTGATATCGTTAGAATACTTGATTCTATGCTTTTAAATGCTGCCGGAAGGAGCCTAACGCATGACGTGCTCAATACGTTAATGGCAGAAGTTTCAGCAATAGTGAACTCTAGACTTCTGGTACCGGTATCGACAGATCCAGAGAATCCGTTAATCTTAACACCAGCTATGTTATTGACACAAAAGACCGATTACATCTTCACTTCAGATCAGCTTGGAGAATTCGACAAACGGGATCTATGTCTAGCCGAATGGAGACGTGTACAGGCTCTGGCCAGTGTTTTCTGGTCCCGTTGGAGGAAAGAGTACCTGCCGCTACTACAACAACGACGAAAATGGACCGAAGATCGCCGTGATCTCATCAAAGGAGACGCCATTCTCCTAAAGGACAAAAACCTCTGCCGTACTCAATGGCCCATCGGTGTTATAGTAAACTCATTTAAAAGTTCCGACGAACATGTCTGGAAAGCAGAAGTACGAATCATCGTAAATGGAAAAGGCACCATCTACACACGACCAATAGTGGACATGATTCTTCTCGTAGAGAACGACTGTATATAGTTTGTATCAATCATGTTAATAGTGATACTTTGGATTTATATAGTGAGATCTTCAAGTACGTTATATATTTGGAATAGTGATATCAGTTAGACATCAGACGGGGAGTATTCTGTTTCACATTCAATGTTTACTATATGTTTCCATAATCATCCGGAACAAATCGCACTGGACCGATTTCTTACATCACCGTTTTTATTGTACTACGTGACTACTTTTAATTTCTGTGACACCGTCTGCTCCAAAATTTAACACATGTAACATGGACGACACTTAATTATTTTCTGAGGAAATCGAGACATATCACTGTCAATTTACCAAACAATACTGACTACTGTATAAACCTTTCTGGTGGAATATCATATTACAATTTTCAAAACAAGTTGTGTTCTTTAATATTCGCCGAGATCGAGATTCAGTCACCCGGTTAAACTATCTGAGTCAGGCTAATCATATATCTAAACATGCCAAAAGTATGCATGATAATTTTAACCTGGTTTGAATAATAGTCCCAGATTAACATAGCCTAGTAATGAATTTATTTTCTTGTGTAAGTATTTCAATGTGTCTTTGTTTAATATTTTTAGCATCCTCAACTTTGTACATGTATATATATAATTGCATCTGTATAAAAATAAGGAGATGTGGTATGATTGCCAATGCGACAACTATATACCAAAGTTCAAATGAAACTGGATGTAAGCAATTATAGGCAACAGTACGGCCTTCAACAATGAGAAAAATCCATACCGTAAAGACAGCTATAAAGGCCCCGACATGAAAAATATCAAACAATCAATTGAGAAAACTAACGGCCTAATTTATAACAAAACAATTTACGAAACACAAATATGACAGAAATGAACCAACGGAAACCACTTAACTACAGGCTCCTGATTTAGGACAGGCACATAAAGATTGTGGCGGGGTTAATAGATATAAGAAGATGTGGTATGAGTGCCAATGAGACAACTCTCCATCCAAGTCAAAATTTATAAAAGTAAACCATTATAGGTCAAAGTACGGTCTTCAACACGGAGCCTTGGCTCACACCGAAAAGCAAGCTATAAAGGGCCCCAAAAATTACTAGTGTAAAACCATTCAAACGGGAAAACCAACGGTCTAATCTATATAAAAAAACGAGAAACGAGAAACACTTATGAACCACATCAGCAAACGACAACTACTGAACATCAGATTCCTGACTTGTTTGTGAGCGCTCAACCCTCCCCCTAACCTGGGACCTGAGTGGTGTAGCAGTACCACATAATAACACACTACTAGTATATAAATCAGTTAAAAAAAACTTAACTCATCAGATGGATACAAATAGAAATACATCTAACAAAACGCAAAGTGCACGTGGATGGGTACTTATACATCCGCACAACAAAAAGACACTTAGTACAGATCTGAGAGTACTCGCAGTTACTGAGAGCTAGTTCAAAGCCAATAACAACAAATAAAAAAAATATGTGTCAAAGATTTAAATATCAATCAGTACACATCCAAAAACCAATGAATTTTGTGTAAAGACGTCATTAATTTTTTAACAGTCAGAGAAAAACATAACCTTGTACAATGCCATACTATATGTTTCGACAGATTGTAGTACCGTGAAAGTACGTATATACATATCAGTAAAATTAAGTATTACTTTAATTTACTGATAACAAAATCAATATGTTTACCAATAAAAACAATTTTCGAAAATTGAATATAAGTCAGAAGTTCCTCTGGAAACTTTGTCAAAATTCATCGTTGCCAAATACCGTGATTCAGGATTTTAGAACAAAGGGGGCCGCCCCAAAAAAAAAAAAAACCCTGAATCCGCCTCTGGTTGGTTATTTTCTGAGTCAGAATTTTTTTTTCGGCCAAAGCGCGAACAATCTTTTCTAGTTTTTCAGCCCTATCAATCAAATTATTTTGTTCAAAATTTAACACTTTATAAAGTATGGTGGAGATCTGGATTCAGAATATTTTTGTTTATAATTTGTCCTCTGCTTGAAGAGGGTCTCATTGGGGTCTAAGCGTGACGCGGGATTGCCAATTTTTTGTAAGCGTGACACGTGAAAGTCAAATTATTGTGCCGTGAAAACGGGAAATGAAGTCTAGCGGAATATGGGAAATTACAAAATATGAGAATTGATCACGTACATAGTGTAAGCGGATACGGGATTCTGACAAAACAGTAAGCGGGATCCGGGATTAGAACCCCTAATTGTACATGGTTTTAGGCTTCTGTCCGTGTACAAATGGACATTGTCTACTCTGAAATCTTTCGGCCTTTTTAGTTTAAAAATCGGAAGCGTAACCATTGTATAATTGCTATATAAGATCAAATAAAATTACGTAAAATCGTAAAATAGCAAGATTCAAAACAGAAATACACATGCAAGAAGATATTGTTCATGATTTGTTCGCATATAGGGAAACACCTTGTAGGTTGAATTTTAAAGTTAAATAACTTTTAACTTACCTGCTTTCTTAAGTTTTCGGCCAAATTCTTTTAAAAACATGATGATTTCAGCCTTCCCATTTCGTAAAAAGTCAAATTTTAAGCATTTTCCCTTAGAATTAAACAGCATTTTTGTAAATATCCGCCAAAGGAAGTTTTTAAAGATACATTAGTTTTAGATACATGACGGAAAAGGACTGGATTATCCGCAAATCTATAATAAATTATATTTTCAATCTTAAGCTAAGGGAAGTAATTTGATCAAAAGGGACAAAGTCACGTGGTGCAAATGATTTAAATAAAGTACCTTTGATTTTGCCATATGTATTCCGATTCCCAAATTGACTATACAAATCCTTGGCTTGAACAGATTTTTTTTTTTCGTCAATTTGGGAATCGGAATATGGGAAACCATAACACCCCTTGAAGTTAAATGTTCGTTCCCTAATCATGACTGATTTGTCCACGTGTTTGTTCGCTCGTAATTTTATTTTCCCGCCTCACAAACAACGTGTTTGTCCTATTATCTCCCCTTTCCGGAAGTTTCCCAGTTTTCGCGAAACGAAAGGGAAACTAAAAGTACAATTTCTTAAAACTTCCTCAATTGAATGAAGATTGAATGTTGAATGAGGTACTGTTTTAAAGACTTTTTTCTACGTTTCCTTTCTATAACATTTAAAAACACGCCATGTAGTCAGTCTGTGTAAAGTAAATGGAAGTGTCATGTATGTATATTTCAAGTTCAGAACCAGAGATATGTCTCTGTCAGAACTAATAAGCTTTTGCATGTGGCTTTTGACTTTGTGCACCAGTAGAGTATGATTTCTCTTCCAAAACTATCACTATGTACCAACCTGGATTCCAAGCGGGATGCCTGGCACAGCAAACAAACGCTAAACCCAACTGAGCTAAAGGAGTAGTCCACTAGCTAGAGCACCTCATTGCGGGCTTGGATGGGGATATAATGTTTGTCCACCTTAACAGGTCCTACTAAAAAGCGCCCGGGGAAAAGAAAAAGCTCCCAGGGAAAAGAAAAGGCGCCCGGGAAAAATATATAGATATTGTATTGGCATGAGACAACTTTGTGTTGATGAAATACGTTATGCACATTGATTTTTTTTTAATTTTAGACAAGTAGTTTTCAAATTCAGATAATAGACCTTTGTAATATTGTATCGTTCCGACAGCAGTTTAGATGTAGCATGGTCCAAGTGTACGCCAACTTCTCTTCGCTGTATTCAGCTTCAGCAGTCAGGGGACTTACTTAAATGAGTGATTTTCTAAATCACTGATTCAAGTAACATTATGTCCATAAAGGTTGGAAGTAAGAGTTGTCTTTCTTTAATAATCACCTATTTAAGTAGTACAAATTAATCACTAGACTAAGTGATTTAATTTTATTGTAGCTTTAAATATAGAATACTAATGATCCAGGGGCTAATTATGTTGCTAAAATTATCAGAACCAACATCTGTGTTGATAGGATGACCGGGTCATGTCAGGTGATGACCTTGTACTAAATCTAGGATAATGACATAAAAATCACTTGTTTAAGTATCATACCTCAATTTCCTTCCAAAAAATCACTTCTTTAAGTATCATAATATTTTAATAACCCCCACTAATTTCAACACCCCCGAACAGTGAAATTTTGATCACGAACAGTAGAATTTTATTACATAATCTATAAGATGAAACCTTGAATTTTACAGGAAAAATAATCACACTGCTGGGAAAAATCTGTTGAGAAAGTATCAGTTCATTATGTAAAGCCATTTTTATAGCATTTTTTCAATAAAAATAGAATTTGCAGCTAAATGATTGCATCAAAGGCATAAACCTTGCTGCTTAAAAGAAGCAAAAAGTTCATTTTTTTCAATTTTACTAATGAAAAGATATTATCTAAACCTATGTGTTTAAAATTTTGGTAAAACTACAAAATCACAATTTGTGACAAAACTTTGAATTTGCTTTAAAAATCACTTATTTCAATAAGTCCCCTGACTGTTCAGTGATATAGAGCTTGTGCCTCTAGTTTGTACAGGAACAATATAGCTATATATTTCAAAATTTCAGACCATTACTATTATGATATATATTTATTGTAGTTTATTTCATGATTGTTAACGAGGGATCAGACCAGTTTACAAATTAAAATTTATCATGGAGGGCAATGAGATGGAGAAGGAGCTGAACAATGTCAAGGTCATGTTGAGGTCTGTCCTGACCTCATCAAAGGGTGGTGTGCCAGCTCATGTACTTCAGAGTAAGTAATTTATATATAGGTCATAGGTCAGTCCTGGCCTTTACAAAGGGAGGTGTGCCAGCTCTTTTTCACCAAAGTAAAGTCATTTACATATAGGTCATAAGTCAGTCCTGGCTTAAGAAATAAAAGTAACAGCTGAATCAATCATACCAATGACTAAAACGGCACAGATCCAGTAATTTTGAAAAGGGGGCTCCTGCCGCCAAACACCATGAAAGCTTCACATAATTTTAAAAAAAAATTGAAAAAATGGCGGTGGGGGCATTCCAACCCCTGGAATACCCTCACTGAATCAGCTAATGTAAATACTTTTCCATAAGTTCCTAAGTGATATTATTATAGTTCTGATAAGATTGTTTGTTTGTTTTTAACACCACTTGCATGGACCATGGCTATATCATGGGGCCAAAGTAGTGTTTATTGGTGGAGTAAGCTAAAAAAACCCAGAGAGAACACTACCTGGGCAGGAAAAGTGGAAATTCTTTTCAAATAAGATCCTACTAATTAGTGGGGTATGAACTCACAACCCCAGAGTTATCAACCAGTGAACTAGATGAACAACTTTCATCTTCAGTCGCTAAGCCCCTTGACAAAATTACTTACATGATATACATGTCTGTAGCCAGCTAAGGCTAATTCCAGAAATTTATTACTATCACAAACATTTAGCCACTAAGACTCCCTGATACAGTTACATTTATATACATGAAATAAGTTTCTTACAAAAGTTATACATGTCTGTAGCTAGTTACGGCTTATTACATTTTAACATAATTACTATGACAAACATTTGTATTGATATATATATATATGTACAGGAGACTACAGAGAAGCCACATTTGAATCCTTGCCGTACCAGAAGTTTGGTTACCGTAATCTAGATGCCTTTATTGAGAGTATGCCAGATGTTGTTAAAATAAGCAGGTAGTAAAAACATGTCTAGACATAGTAAGTTAGTTGTAGCTCTTAAGTGTTCACAAGTTTTCTGTTATTAATTAATTAACATGCAAAGGTTAAAGTTTACTTAATAAGTATATAGGATTGTCACTTTTTTTACATTGTTTGGGGCAGTTGATATTCTACAACATCTGAGCTGCGTCAGATAGAAATCGACCTTATGCTAGTGCACGTATACATGTACATGTATATGACTTTGATTGATTTTTATATGACCGCGAAAAAATTTTGGGGTCGTATATTGGTATGACGTTGACGTCGTCGTCGTCGTCCGAAGTTAAATATTTAGGGGCCAAAAAGGGGTCAAAAATAAGCATTTTTGTAACTTTGTAACTTCCAGACATAACTTGTGTGTTAGTGTATGGATCTCTCTGACATTGTACCACAAGGTTCCATATCACAAAGGGAATGCTGGGATTGATTTTGGGGGTAATTGCCTCCAAAATGTTTAGGAATAAGAGGCCAAAAAGGGGCCAAAAATAAGCATTTTTCGAGTTTCCAGACAATAACTTGTGTGTAAGTGTATGGATCTCTCTGACATTGTACCACAAGGTTCAATATCACAAAGGGAATGCATGGGATTGATTTTGGGGGTAATTGCCTCCAAATTTTAGGAATTAGGAGCCAAAAAAGGCAAAAAACAAGCATTTTTCTAGTTTCATGACAATAACTTGTGTGTAAGTGTATGGATCTTTATGAAATTGTACTACAAGGTTCCATATCACAAAGGGAAAGCTGGAATTGAGTTTGGGGGTAATTCCCCCAAAACGTTTAGGATTAAGAGGCCAAAAAGGGGCCAAAAATAAGCATTTTTGTAACTTCCAGACAATAACTTGTGTTCAAGTGTATGGATCTCTCTGAAATTGTACTGCAAGGTACCATACCACAAAGGGAAGGCTGGGATTGATTTTGGGGGTAATTGCCTCAAAATTGTAGGAATTAGGGGCCAAAAAGGGAAAAAAAAACAAGCATTTTTCTAGTTTCCAGACAATAACTTGTGTTCAAGTGTATGGATCTCTCTGAAATTGTACTGCAAGGTACCATACCACAAATGGAAGGCTGGGATTGATTTTGTGGGTAATTGCCTCAAAATTTTAGGAATTTGGGGCCAAAAAACAAGCATTTTTCTAGTTTCCAGACAATAACTTGTGTTCAAGTGTACGGATCTCTCTGAAATTGTACTGCAAGGTACCATACCACAAAGGGAAGGCTGAGATTGAGTTTGGGGGTGATGAATCATAAGGGTGTTCAAAAAATTGGGGGGGGGGGATTTTTTTTTCCTTTTTTTTCTTTAAAATTTTCCATTTTAAATTGGTTATTTCTGATTTATATATAAAAGAAAATAATAATGATATGGTTTGAATAGAAGGGACTAAACTTTAAACATAGGTTAACAGATATCTTGATATTCTTATGCATAAGGTGGATTTCCGACGCAGCTCATCTTACACAAAAAATCTGATAATCTGTTTATGGTGCAATTCAGAGTTTTTTTTCCCTATATCAGACAGTTTTACACTTGACAAAGTAAGCTGGAAAAGTTTCTTCACACATTGCGATGTTGCTGATATCTTAAGCTTCTCCTCAAACATTGAGTTGTTCTGCTCACTTTGCAAACTGAGATATGATAATTACTTAGCAACTGAGTAGGGCAATATAGGCGAAGGAAAAGACAAAAGGTTTAGTTTTTTAGCTAACCTGGCCTAAAAGTGAGCTTTTCTTGTCACTTGTCGTCCGTCATCATTGTCGTCGTTAACTTTTACAAAAATCTTCTCTGAAACCAAACTTGGCCACAATCATCATTGGGGTATTTAGTTTTAAAAATGTGTCTGATGACCCCGCTGCCGACCAAGATGGCTGACATGGCTAAAAATAGAACATAGGGGTAAAATGCAAGTTTTGTCTATTATTTTGAAAACTGTTATAAATAAAGAAAATCTGACAGGGCAAAAATGATCAGAATGATGAGCTCTACCAATTGTCCATATACATCAAAACTATAAGACAACCCCTTATAGGGGTTATTTCCCTTAAATGACAAATTTTACCATTTTTGTTCATTTTTGCCTATTATCTTGAAAACTATAATAGATAGAGAGAAACTTTAAATTGCAAAAATGATCAGCATGACAAGTTCTACAAATAACTTTGCTTGGTCGAAATCATCAGTCAACTTCTCATTTGAACAATAACTCAAAAACAATTTCTCCAATTTGCATGAAACTTTTGTCAATTGTTCATATCTATTGACTTGCGCTCCCGTTCATTTTTTTATAAATTTAGGATTTACCGTTTCCGAGTTTTGGGGTTTTATTCATTAAAAAAGGGGGGATTTTCAAGTTTTCGGACAATAACTCAAAAAAAATTTCACCAATTTGCAAGAAACTTTTGTGAAGTGTTCATATATATTGACGTGAGCTCCCTTTTGTTTTTTATAAATTTCAGATATACTGTTTCTGAGTTTTGGGGTTTTATTCATTAGAAAAGGGGAGATTTTTCAGTTTTCAGACAATAACTCAAAAACAATTTCACCAATTTCCAAGAAACTTTGGTGAATTCTTTATTTCTATCAACATGAGCTCCGTTTTGATTTTTATAAATTTCAGACTATACATTTTGGATTTATGGGGTTTTATTCATTACAAAAAGGGGGATTTTCCAATTTTCTGACAATAACTCAAAAATGCTATCAGCATCTTTTATGAAACTTTGGTAAATTGTTTATATCTATTTTTGTAAGCTCGCTTTTGATTTTTATAAATTTTCGATTTTATGTTTCCGAGTTATAAGATTTTATTTGTTTATAGTCTGACAACAGATTTACTAAGTATTACGCAACAGTAAAGTGTATTGCACAACAGCAAGAAATCTTATAACCAATTTCAAGTTCTTTGACTACATTTATTCAGAAACCTATAATATATCAAATATTTAATTACAATCCAAATTCAGACCTGTATCAAGCTTGAATATTGTGTCCATTTTTGCCCCAACTGTTCAGGGTTGGACCTCTGGGGGCGTATCCAGCTGTGCTCAGCGAAGCAGTTTTTTGCCTTATATGTTAAAAATTATAATAGATAAATAGACACTTTAATCACAAAAATGATCAACAAGGCAAGTTCTACTAACAAGTCAAATTTTGCTGATATAGTTAATAGACCGCCACTCTTTGTAGGAGCGATTGCCCTTAAATTAGGATTTTTTTTTGCCCTCTTTTGTGTTTTGAGCAAAAACTAAAGAAGAAAAAGGGACACTAAACAGACTAAATGATCAGCAATACAAGATCAACAAAACAGATTTTTGACATGAATTCTGTTCTCGTCTACAATGTTGGAGAGTGTCCTTTGTTGAATATGCACATAGACCAAGGTGAGCGACACATGCTCTTTAGAGCCTCTAGTTTGGGTTTCATTGCCTTGATATTATAAAATATTTTGATCAGCTGCAAGCCATTATAAAACATTGTTCAATATATTTCCTGCTGTGTTAGATTTAGATTTTACCCTCCTTTTAACCAATAAAAACTTGTACAATTTTATTTGATTTTTAGAACTCCAACTGGTGAAATCTATCATGCTGTAGCAGATGAGAGTACAGCTCATATTGCTAAAATGGTGTCTAAACAGCGTACTACAAAGAAGAGGAAAAGTTTAAAGGTCAGGAAAAAGTAGTGGTATAAATTATTCATATTTATTGATCAAATAAAATTGAGAATGGAAATGGGGAATGTGTCAAAGAGACAACAACCCGACCATAGAGCAGACAACAGCCGAAGGCCACCAATGGGTCAAAACACACTTTCTGCTGAGGTTCAATTTTTTTTTCTGTTTAAGTCAACAAAATACTGGAGAAAATAAGAAATTGAGTAACATGAACTCCTTCAAAAATCAAGGGATGAACTCAGATGCTCCTGAAGGGTACTAAGCTGTTTCTGCTCCACCAGTGGCATCTATCATGTTACATTGCAAGTAAATTAATTGTTTTTATTGATTGGTAAGTGTTTTAACGCCACTTTCAGCACTATTGTGCTAATTTGTGGAGGTTAGTTTTTATTGATGGAGGAAGCCAGAGAGAACTACCAACCTTTGGTAGGAAAACTGACAATCCTAGTCAAATCAGATTGGAGTCAAATGCACCTGCCATGTGCCTAATTCAAACTCAAAACCTCAGTGATGACGCGAAAGTGATAACTAGTTCGACATCTTAGACCACTTGGCCCCATATGAAACTAAGAAAAGTATTGAAATGGCAAAAGACAATAATTTTTTTTATGCCCCCGTCGTAACAGAGGGGCATTAAGTTTTACCCTTGTCCGTCTGTACGTCGTCCGTACGTACGTCCCAAAGCTGGTTTCCGTTCTCTAACTTTAGTTGCATCAACCAAATGTTATGAAACTTATACACAATGCTTATTACCACATAATACAGATCAAGTTTGAAATTGGGTGGCGTCACTTATAACGTTCTTGAGTTATTCCCCTTTATAAACATAAAAATTGCTGAATTTTTCGTTTCCGTTCTCAAACTTTAGTTTGCCTCAACCAAATATTATGACACTTATACACAATGCTTATTACCACATAATAAAGATCAAGTTTGAAATTCGGTGGCGTCACTTTTACTGTTCTTGAGTTATGCCCCTTTATAAGCATAAAAATTGCTGAATTTTTTGTTTCCGTTCTCTAACTTTAGTTTGCCTCAACCAAATGTTATGAAACTTATACACAATGCTTTTACCACAGAATACAGATCAAGTTTGAAATTGGGTGGTGTCACTTTTACTGTTCTTGAGTTATGCCCCTTTATAAACAAAAATTGCTGAATTTTTCATTACCGTTCTGAGAACTTCTCTAACTTCAGTTTGCCTCAACCAAATGTTATGAAACTTATACACAATACTTATTACCACAAAACTCAGATCAAGTACAAATTAGGGTAGCCTCACTTTTACCGTTCTTTAATTATATCCCTTTATAACTTTATTAGATATGCAAGCAGGGGCATCATCTGTGTCCCATGGACACATTCCCCATTTATTTAAATTCGGACTTTGCCAAAATGGATGTCATAGTATGTGTTTTAATATTACATTTTATTGTTACAGCCACCAAGACGGAGACCAGCGCCAAGGTCAGCACCATTCTATTCACCATGGCGGTCACAGCAACACATAGTATTGCAGCCTCTGAGACCCTGGCCTGGTAAGAGACCACCAAAGAAGACATCAAGGTCTCACGGGATGGACTATGAAGCACAGCAGTCTCAGCCACGACCTTATGGCAGGACCCTGCCTGGACAACAACACCATCACTTGACAGTACATACCGATGGAGGGAGGAGGAGAGTTGACTTCCAGGGTCCAGCTAGATTGTTACTGGAAACTCCTAATCAAAAACAGGTGTGACAAAAAAAAATAAGATTTCATAAATTCTCCTTTTGAAGTTATTCATATTATGAAAGGACTTATTTATTTATGATTGGGCAAAGTATTAATGTAACTGTAAGGTATCTTTACTCCTTTATATAGTATGTAATTAATAGACCACTTTAGAGTTATGTCCTCCACCGTAAAAGTTCGTCAATTATGCCGCCTTTATGACTTCATTTACCGGATAAAAAAGACCGCCTGTATCCCTCCACTATTAAAGACCGTCAAGCGTCTTCATGATGTCATTATGCAGGATTAACTAGAAATAATTGTTGTTCTGTAATACTTTATCACAATTCCCTAATGACAGTAGTGCTGATTATCAATTATAACTTTATTAATTTGCTGAATAATTCGTGCAATATAGCATCATATTTTTTCAACCGCTCATTCAACATGGGAATGAAGTGACAACGCCCCTAAACACACAAATGATGTTCACTAAAACTAAAGTTTTTGACGGAAATGCAAGAAACTCGAAAGTGGTCTATTGGTGTTACCAACTATGTTATTCAATGCACAATGAGTAAAATTTACATAGAGCAAATTAGCTGCAAGACTCACTTACTGTGAGATGTGATTCAAACATTTTTATGCCCCACCTAGGGGCATTATGTTTTTCAGTCTGTGGGTCCATTCGTTCTTTGGTCAAGGTAGTTTTTGATGAAGTTGAAGTCGAATCAACTTGAAACTTAGTACACATGTTACCTATGATATGATCTTTTTAATTTTAATGCCAAATTATAGTTTTGATCCCAATTTCACGGTCCACTGATCATAGAAAATGATAGTGCGAGTGGGGCATCTGTGTACTATGGACACATTCTTGTTTCAATATGAAAAAGAAGATGTTGTATGATTGCCAATGAGAAAACTCTTCACAAGAGACCAAATCACAAAGAAATTAACAACTATAGGTCACTGTACAGCCTTCAACAATGAGCAAAGCCTATACCATATAGTCAGCTATAAAAGGCCCTGAAATGACAATGGTAAACAATTCAAAAGAGAAAATTAGCGGCCTAATTTCTTGCACATTGAAATTGTTATCAAACATTTATTTTACTTTACTTTACATCACTACATTTTGTATGTTACCAAATTGACCATCATGTTTCCCATGTTTCCAACACAGCATAAGACACTTCTCATGAGACTTTTTATTTCAGACACAAAGCTACTCAGTCAACAGATTTGAGCAGCCACCAAGGTTTAGAAAACTACAAGAACAACAAACTACAACTACAGATCATCCAGTTAAAAAAGGTATCAATTAGATAAAATCTATATATAATCTAATAATTTTATTGGATATTGGATAATTTTAATGTCAAAAGATAAAAATGCTACCCTATGGAGACAATCATCATCAGCGATAATTAGCCAATCAAAATTGATATTTCCTATGGTCACTATTTCATCTCCTGATTGATGGAAACATGTCAATCAGCACAAATTTAATTTGTTTGGAACTTTTGAATTGTATTCTTCTGACTGTATATCAAAATTTAAACAATCGTGATCATGATGGATTAACTATCTCTTGCACATATTGCAAGTAGATTCTGACGCAGCCTGAGAAGAAAAGCCTTGTTTAATTCATAGCTGGTTGATAATTTCAATGATAGAGATATCATTAACATGTACCTTTTGCACAGTTTTCAAAACAGAATGCATGTAGCCACATGATGTTTCAAAGCATGCAAGGACTGTTCAACTCAGGGGGGGGGGGGGGGGGGGGTTTCTCAACCTACAAATTTGGGTACAGACCCCCCCCCCCCCCCTCCCCATTTATATATTGATTTATGCGAGAGAGAAAAAAACCTAACCATTTATATATATATTTCCCAGCATCATGACATCTTATTTCATTGAGATGTTAACCACATGGTATCTTTGATTCATATTATGTGATAAAGTTTTTACAGACATCTTAACAGAAGATGAACATGAATGACCCATTGACATATAAATTTCTACCCATTGATATATGTTACATCCGTGAAATTGCACCCCATTGATATATTTGACATTCCAAAAAAGTAACCCATACCAGTGACCGATGGCACATCTGTGTGTACCTTAGAATAGGAAGAGATCCCCCCTTTGGTTCAACTTCATCAGAAGTCCTTCACAGCTCAGAACCCTACCAATTCTGTCAGTAACTCTATGTACAACCATATGCTGAGCAACTCAAGACAGTCAAGCAAGCATGTACAGTTAATATAAAAGAACTGCACAACATTTTCATTGCTACCAGTTTAATCAAACTAAATTTAAAAAATGAATCAATTTAAATACAAGTCAAATTGTATCTGTTTTATAAGAACAAAAATCTGTTTTGACTGATTTATATTTTATTTTATTTCAGCATCACCACCAAGAGGTGCATCTTCACCATCTAGACCCCCCAAAAAGACTTCCCCAAAAACACATGTACAACCAGTGGATATGGCAAAAAGTAAGTAATAATTGATGATTCTCATGACCTAAACAATTAAAATAGCTTTAATCTTAGAAGAAAAAATCTTCCCAAAAGGAGTATGCCTCAATAGCAACATCAGTGGATTTAAGAGAACCATATATTAATGATGGATTGCATAACATGCATACATTAGCCTGTTGTTTAGAGCTAGAAATTGATGTTTTATGCTGCGTTATGCATTTCAATTTGTTTGTATGTTTTGCAGTCACCCGTTTGTTTTACTGCCTTGTCTTTACCTTGATTGATTTTAATTCTTCTTTCTTTCTTTTTAAGATTGCTATAAGTTTTTAGGTACCTTGATTGGTCACTGTACTTTTTATAAGATCAATATCATGTTTTGATTGGTTACCACACAGCCAATCATATTTTGCTTTTGTTTTTTCAGTTAAAGATGGAAAGAAATATTATGATACACTGATTGAATACTGTAAGTCTCACCATATAAGTGACCTGAAGTTTGAGACGATGCCGAGTAGGATAGGACAAGTTTACTGCTATGCCAGCTCAACCAGCATAAATCAAAGAGTCTATGGAAGTGGAGGTGAGTTTCCTGTCTCATCAGAACAGTTCCAATGAAGATTCTAACTAGAGATTCTAATGAAATATTAGACAAGTTTACCTCTACTCAAGCTGTGCTTAATTTTTGTCGAGCCTGCGACTTTTGTCCCAGAAAGCTTGACATAGGGATAGTGATCCAGCGGCGGCGGTGGCAACGGCAGCGGCGGCGTTAGCTAACTTCTTAAAAGCTTTATATTTTAGAGGGTGGAAGGTCTGGATGCTTCATACTTTGTATATGGATGCCTCATGTTACGAAGTTTCCGTCAGTCACATGTCCAATGTCCTTGACCTCATTTTCATGGTTCAGTGGTTATAGTTAAGTTTTTGTGTTTTGGTCTGTTTTTCTTATACTGTATGCAATAGGTCTACTATATTTGGTGTATGGAAGGACTGTAAGGTGTACATGTCTAGCTGGCAGGTGTCATCTGACCTTGACCTCATTTTCATGGTTCAGTGGTTATAGTTAAGTTTTTGTGTTTTGGTCTCTTTTTCTTATACTGTATGCAATAGGTCTACTATATTTGGTGTATGGAAGGACTGTAAGGTGTACATGTCTAGCTGGCAGGTGTCATCTGACCTTGACCTCATTTTCATGGTTCAGTGGTTATAGTTAAGTTTTTGTGTTTTGGTCTGTTTTTCTTATACTGTATGCAATAGGTCTACTATATTTGGTGTATAGAAGGACTGTAAGGTGTACATGTCTAGCTGGCAGGTGTCATCTGACCTTGACCTCATTTTCATGGTTCAGTGGTCAAAGTTAAGTTTTTGAGTTTTGGTCTTTTTTTCTAATACTATATGCAATAGTTCAACTATATTTGGTGTATGGAAATATTTTATGATCTATTTGTCAGTCATGCAGGTTTTTTTTACCTTGACCTCATTTTCAAGGTTCATTGCTCAGTGTTAAGTTTTTGTGTTTTGGCCTGTTTTTCATACTATAAGCAATAGGTCAACTATATTTCTCATTTTCATGGTTCATTGGTCAATGTTTAGTTTTTTGGTTAATGTTAAGTTTATGTGACAGTTGTAATAAAGCTTTATATTTAGGACTATCAACATAATGATCAATGATTAATAAAGAAGGCGAGAAATTTCAGCATGTGCACTCTTGTTTTGGTTTTGTTTGTTATCTTTGTGGATTTAAAAATTTTATGTAGATTTTTTTGATGATTACCATTCTATTTTATATATTGGTAACTTCTAAACATATCATTTTGTATACTGTTGTGTTGCTGCATTTACTCTAATTTTGTAACTCAAGCAACCAATTTTCAAAATTAATAATATTTTCAACTCAGCCATGCTTGTGTTGGTGCAATTTTTTTGACTGTCTATCTCAGTTTTTTAGCTCACCGGGGCCTGAAGGGCCCCATGTGAGCTTATGCCATCACTTGGCGTCCGTGGTCGTCTGTCGTCGTAAACTATTTCAAAAATCTTCTCCTCTGAAACTACTTGGCCAAAAACCTTCAAACTTTATCTAAATGTTCCTTAGGGTATCTAGTTTATAAATTGTATCCGAAGTTTTGATCCATAGACAAATCTGGCCACCATGACTAAAAATAGAACATAGGGGTCAAATGCAGTTTTTGGCTTACATTTTAAAAACTAAAGCTTTGAGAGCAAATCTGACGTGGGTAAAATTGTTCAATTGGTCAAGATCTATCAGCCCTGAAATTTTCAGACGAATCAAACAACCCATTGTTGGGTTGCTGCCACTCAATTGGTAGTTTTAAGGAAATTTTGCAGTTTTTTGTTATCTTGAATATTATTATAGATAGATATAAACTGTAAACAGCAATAATGTTCGGCAAAGTAAGATCTACAAAAAAGTTAATAAGACCATAATTGTCAATTGACCCCTTAAGGAGTTATTGCCCTTTAAATACAATTTTACACAATTTGTTCATCAAGTTTGCTAATATTTAAAAATTTTCTCCTCTGAAATACAGGTGAGCGATTCAGGCTCTTGAGAGCCTCTTGTTTAAATTCACTATAGATATCTTCCTATCTTTAAGCCTCATATTATTGTTATGTAGTCAGCTATAAAAGGCCCGGAAATCACAAATGTAAAATAATTCAAAAGAGAAAACTTATGGTCTAATTAATGTACAAAAATATAAATGAAAAACAGATATGTTACACAGCAACAAACGACAACCAATAAATTACAGGCTCCTGACTTGGGACAGGCACATACATTTAGAATGTGGTGGGGTTAGACATGTTAGCAAGACCCCAACCCTCACCTAACAGTGGTGTAACAGTACAACATAAGAACGAACTATAAAAATCAGTTGAAAAAGGCTTAACTCATCAGATGGATACAAATAGAAATACATCCAATAAAAACAGAGTGGACGTGACCAGATACTTGTACATCCGAACAACAAAACGACACTAAGTACAGATCTGAGAGTACTCGCCGTTACTGACAGCTAATTAAAAGCCAATAACAACTAAGAAAAAAATCATGCATCTAAAACTAAATTATCAATCAGTACACATCAATCAATAAAAATACCTTTTTATTTTTTTAGCATTAAACTTTTTTTATTACTTTTTTCGTAATAATTAGTATTTTATACCCCTAGCTGCAAAACTATTCTGAATTTTGGGTCCTCAATGTTCTTCAACTTTGTACATTATTTGGCCTAATAAAGAAACAAGCTTCTGGCATACAAGATTTTAATCTTAGTATTTATTTTTAGTTTATTTAATAGAGTACATGCTTTTGATATCATGTGAAAAAGTACAAATTGAGAGGAGAATGTGTAGATTCAAGTTTATTAGCATAACATTATATGTCAGGATTGGTGTATAGCAGATCACATCAACAATTGCCACAAGTTTTCTGCTTTTTTGCTTTTTGGGAAAACTAATTCGTTGGGAATGTTGCCAAATATAATTACCATTTCAGACTTATTAAAAGCATAAACACTGTAACCCATAGTTGCAATGTTCTACATCATTTGGTCTTTGGTGGAGAGTCGTCTCATTTGCCATCATACCACATTTTCTTATTTTTATAAGGCAGTTTACAGAAATATTATGTATACTGTCCATCTGTCTTTCAGTCGTCTACACTTCGGACAATAACTCAAAAACACTTTCACACATTTTCATGAAACTTTGGTGAATTGTTCATATCTGTTAGATTTTTATGAATTTTAGATGTTATGTTTCCAAGTTAGGGGATTTTTTTCGTAAAAAATAATGGGGGATTTTCCAGTTATCTGACTATATCTCAAAAAAGCTTTGAGTATAAATCATGAAACTTTGGTGAAAAGTTTATTTTCAGTGACATATTAAAGTTCCTTTTCGATTTTAAAAAAATTTCTGATTTTACGTTTTGGAGTATTGGGACTTTTTTTACTGGGGGGATTTTCCAGTTTTCTGAAAATAACTCAAAAGAGCTTTGAGCAGTTTTCATAAAAATGATGATTTGTGTATATTAATTGAAATAAGCTCCCTTTTGTTTCTTTTTAGATGTTTCTGTTATGATATTGCAGAGTTATGGAACTTTATTTATGTGAAAAATTGTCAAACAAACTGTCCATTTTTCACACTTTGGACAGTTACAGAATGTTATTCCTTACAAAATAGAGGTCACAAACTTAGTTAAACTAAATTAAGGTAGCTTTAATAGTGCCAAATTATCCATGTTTTGTGTCAACTGGTAACATGTGCATGTCTTTTTTTTCTTTTTCGGGGTAGGGGGGTCCATTTGAGCAGTTCTTACAGTATTTCTGGTTGATCATATTAATTCTTTTAAAGCATTAAGACGAACAAAAAAGCAATGGGCCTATCATGCACTCAGAGCACAGCTCTTTATTATATTTTACATGATTTATTATTCAATTACAGATTTATTTGGATCTAGTGTAGAAGCAGAATTTGCAGCCTGTAGAACAGCTTGTGTAGAATTAGGACTCCTTAATGGTAAATAAATAAAAAAAAACTTTATGATATTAAAACTAATTAAGTGTATTCAATTGATGTATATCTTTTTAGATGTACTCCTAATTACAACCTACCCTGTACTTTTCTAGTAATTTGCTGTTGAAATCAATAAAAAAATTAGAAAAATAGAAAAAGATTTGGGTGGCGTCACTTTTACCGTTCATGAGTTATGTTCCTTTATGACGTTATATGTAAGTGGGGGCATCATCTGCGTCCAATAGACACATTCTTCATTTATTTATTTATATCATCCTTTAGGTTTCAACAAGTTCATTGAATCCTAGAAAACATCTAACTGACTTGAGGTAAAAAAAAAAGTGATCAGTCTCGTCAGTCATGATATGAATGATTGTTATTTCTTATACCTATACCAAACAAATTGCAACTAAAATTTTCAATTACAAACATGTTTTGCTGGATCTAAATATTGACGACTTCAAGTCTAAACCTCCAGATTGCACTTGTGCTAGTTCCCAATTCACATATAATCCGGCTGGCCACGTTATTCCTGGTGACCTCAACATTGTCAATACTGTGGATTCATTATTATTCGTTGGATACCAATTTTCGTGGATTTCTTGGTTATATGTTAACCACAAAATTAAAAGTTCAACGAATGGCAAATTTACTATAGGCTTGCATGTATATTGTATGCAAACATTGTCAAAAACCACGAAATTAAATATCCACGAACATGTAAGTTTTCCTTAATCCATGAAAATTGGTACCCACGAAAATAAATGAATCCACAGTAACACTTCCCTGCGAAATGTGTTATCCAAAGGTCCGAAATATCGTGAGCCTAAATCCATCAATTGGAAATACAACTTCAAAATACTGATGGATTCAGTTGAGGATTATGCCAGGCAATGGGCTAAACACGTGAAAGAAGAAGTAGATACTCTTTCGGAATGGATTAAGGCTGTGAGGTTGTTGATACAAATCAGAATTAAGAAATTGAATGGGTCTATCAATACCCATGCTATGTCAATCTTTAAAGACCCAAATGTTGCAAAACACTTGTCCTACCTCCATGACAAATATGTTGCTGTCCCCGACATCACTAGTTGGTTGACCGTTATGGAATAACCGTTTCACAGATGATGTCGGATATGTTCCTTATGTCGTAACTACAATCCCCCTCCCTTTTCACAAATGCGACCTACCGAATTAGACTATTTACCGGGTTTGTAATAACATGAGCAACACGACGGGTGCCACAGGTGGAGCATGATCTGCTTGCCCTCCTGGAGCACCTGAGATCACCCCCATTTTTTGGTTGGGTTAGTGTTGCTTAGTCTTCAGTTTTCTATGTTGTGTCTTGTGTACTATTATTTGTCTGTTTGTCTTTTTCTATTTTAGCCATGGCGTTGTCAGTTTATTTTCAATCTATGAGTTTGACTGTCCCTCTGGTATCTTTCGCCCCTCTTTAAGTAAAGCTTAATTTTTCTGTGTGACCTTTTTCAGATTTTCTTACAGAACTTTAAATGTGTTAGTACACCATTGGTTGATGCACAACAGACTGTATGAAAGAAATGTGAGATTTTCATCCAAGATATTTTTTAAGGAAATTTCTTTGAATTTGAAATCCTTATCATAATCATCAAAAAAGTTGTAAACTAAATTTCAAATTAAGGTGGCTGGGGCGTCTTAATTAAAATCCATAGAATTTTTTTATATAATTTGTCAAAATGAAGTTTTTATCATGCTTTTTCAAAAATATAATAAAAAGTATGGGTCACCTGACTTTTTTTCACGCTACAGGTTGTGCAAAATTATAAGATTATGCATGGAAAATCCTATTTTGTGTGATAAAATGAAAACTACCTGATAGAATTTTAAGATAAAATGTGAGAAGATAGCTCTTACAACATGCTTTAAGATAAGAAAAAGAGAAAATGGGGTCACCAAACTTGTTTTCTTGCTACATATTAAAATAGTTAAATTCACATCACTTTCTAATATAAAATTACTATATCTGAGTTATCTCCCCTACTATCTGAGTTATCTCCCCTTATATGGCAAAGTTGAAAAAAAATTGAATCAAACCCAAATATGATTGTTTTTTTTTTAGAAATTACAGCCTGGAATATGATAAAACACATTATTTTCTATATTTATATCAAAAGTCTTACACATGAATTACATACTACTCTCAAAATTTGCACATTTCATTAAAGACCAACTACTTCAAAATCCAAGATGGAGGAAGACACCCGAGCCACCTTAAAGGCAATAACAATAATTTACTCAGATGTTTGGGATTATGTGATTGAAATTGGGACAGTTAAAGTCATTTATTCTTTTAATTTGGAAAGGGGCTGTTATTCTACCCCTAGTGACATACTGATAAATCTCAGCCACTGAAAAAATTAGAATAGAGGTTTTACTTTAAAATTGGAGACATCTTTAACAGTTTAACAAACTAACATTTAGATTTGTCTCCTCTAGGGTGACTCCTGACAGGATCTTATCTTAAGTAATGATAATTCTTTCTGTATTGTTATTAATGTCTGTATATGATACCCTCAAGGCTACTTAATTGGAAAAATAAAAATTTCTATTTCTATATATAGGGTACTTCTATGCATGTAGTTGTACAAGTTTATTGACCTTATTTATATCAGGACCTTGTGATTCGTGTGACTGATCATTCTATTTGTTCACTCTATCTTGATTTGATATGTACAGTGCAAAATACACTGTCCTCAATTACATGTATATACTACTGTTATGGAGAATATTAATCTATGTTTCCTGACATTTAAATAGAGACTTTCATCTGTATTTGTATGTACTGCCAACTTCTGATAATTTTATCACTGTTCCGGACTATTCAAATGAAGGTTCACCTCTGTTAAATGATAAACGTAACTATATATATTTAGAATGATAACAATAACTATTTGATAATGTTGTAAAAACACCACATTAAATTTATTTTATGTGGTGTTGAGAGATAGGAAGGGTAATGGCTTCTTCATCAAGTAATAAGGCACAAATTCAAGTGTGCACATTTTGCAAAGACGAAAAAATAACTGAGTGGATATGTTCAGATTGTGATAAACCATTATGCTATGAATGTAAAAGATGCCATTTATGGGATTTTGAAAGGACAGATCATAAAATTGTTAGGGCTGTCCTTTTGGAAAGGAAAGATCATGACATTGTGGGGGCTATTCCGTTGGAAAGGAAAGTCTATGAGAAACAAATTCTGAAGAACATTAATTGTAAGGATCACAAGGAACATTACTGTACTAACTATTGTATTGAATGCAGTTGTCTGGTATGTCCAGAATGCGTGTCTATACTCTCTTTTCATTCAGGACATACATTAAAAACTATTAATACAATTCATGAGGATACTCTGAAAGAGCTGGAGTCAGAGGAGAATCACATAAAACAAAACCTGCTTCCCCCTGTAACTCGAAAACTGAAATCATTGAAAGATTGGTCTACCTTTCATGAGAAGAAGTTTGAGGAAGAAAAGGAGAAAATTTTAAAACGGGCGGATCAATTGAAAAAATGGATAACAGAATGTTCAGACGATCTGGTGGATGAGCTAAAACAAACTTTAGTAAAAAATGCTGATGTTATCTCTCAGGAGAAAGTTAAACTAGAACAACTTCAGAGGGAATTAAAAGAAAAAATTAAACTCATTAACAAGTCCAAATTTAAAGATGATATAGAACAGATCCTAAATGATGTCAGAAATGTGTCTATCAACATGATCAATACCGCGCACATACCATTATTTGTACCAAGAGAAACTAAAAATATTTCTGTATCAAAAGAAACTAAAAAAAGCTTAATATGTGTATATAGATTTTTTGGATATTTTAGAAAAGGTGATGGAATAGCAGATGTTGAATGCAAAATAACAAGCTCATACAATTTAAAGGGTTTTCGCGATCGAAATAAAGCATACACGTATTACACATTCTACCATCCATCAGTAGCCATGGCAAGTGATGGGACAATATTGATTGGAAATAGGAAGCATCTTCTTGAAATGATTCCAGATAAATCCCCAAGAATAAAATACAGACCTATTATTACTGATATGCTATTTTTAGAGACGAATGAGCTTGTTTTTGCAGTTAAAGACACTCATGCCATTCAATTAAGGAACAAACATGATCAATTCCGAACACTTTATTCAATTCCAGATGCACACTACTCTGTTTTAGCTCTTTGTGGGAGTAGAGATGGAAATATTTTTATTCTTTATTCCAGAAGTTACACATCACTGGTTTACAGTAGGTTTAGCATGTTTGGGACATGTTACATAGCAGTAATATCTCAAAATGGAATTTTAGTTCGAACTATTACTTGTGAGGACAAATTTTTAGGTGAAAAATGTTCACCTTTGTACTTTTATTTTTCTCCATACAAATTTAAAATGAAGGAGAACACTTATAAAACAGTCTGTATAATTAATTTCTTAGAAAACAGAGTAAAAGGTTTTGGTCAAAATGGGAAGTTAAAGTGGACTTACTTTGCTAATCAACCTGTTGATGTAGAGTCTGCCCCATTAGGCAGTACTATTGTATTGGGGAAAGATGGCGATTTTGTAATTCTTGATTCTAATGGATATGTTTTGAAAAGCATTGACTTTAAATATGATCTAAATTGTTCTTTGAAGAATTTATACGGTTTTTGCTTTAAAAATGATAAAGAACTTGCCATTTTTAGTGAAGAGAAACTATATATTCTACAGTTTTCTTTTGTTGTATGAAGAGCACAGATCCAGACCAGAAATAATAAATGTTGATAATTGTGTAAAAAGTATTATTATTTATACACACATTGTTGATTTTTTTCCTTCTTAAATAGTACTCATTTTAATGTTGCATGTTCATAGTTTGTGTGTTTTGAAATTAAAATTTTAGAATTAATCAATTGTCATGTTGATGATATAAAAATGAAAACAAAACATAGAAAAAACAGTGCTGAATCTTGCAGTTTGGTGTGAGTTTGTGCTCTGTGCTAAAGGCCTCCTGTGAGATAAATCTGAGCATTTAAAGTGATATATGTTCCTTTGGATTTGTTTGGGTTATGTTTAGTGTATGTGGGAATTTATTTTGTATACCATATCTCCTTCTTCGTCCGAAGACACATTGGTTTTCGCACAATAACTTTAGTTTAAGTGAATGGATCTCTATGAAATTTTACCATAAGGTTTAATACCACAAAAGGAAGGTTGGGATTTATTTTGGGGGTTATGGTACCAACAGTTAAGGAATTAGGGGCCAAAAATAAGCATTTTTGTAACTTCCAGACAATAACTTGTGTGTTAGTGTATGGATCTCTCTGACATTGTACCACAAGGTTTCATATCACAAAGGGAATGCTGGGATTGATTTTGGGGGTAATTGCCTCAAAATTTTAGGAATTAAGGGCCAAAAAAGGGGCAAAAAACAAGCATTTTTCTAGTTTCATGACAATAACTTGTGTGTAAGTGTATGGATCTTTCTGAAATTGTACTACAAGGTTCCATATCACAAAGGGAAAGCTGGAATTGAGTTTGTGGGTAATTGCCCAAAACGTTTAGGAATAATGGGCCAAAAATAAGCATTTTTCTAGTTTCCAGACAATAACTTGTGTTCAAGTGTATGGATCTCTCTGAAATTGTACTGCAAGGTACCATACCACAAAGGGAAGGCTGGGATGGATTTTGGGGTTAATTGCCTCAAAATTTTAGGAATTAGGGGTCAAAAAGGGGAAAAAAACAAGCATTTTTCAAGTTTCAGGACAATAACTTGTGTGTAAGTGTATGGATCTTTATAAAATTGTACTACAAGGTTCCATATCACAAAGGGAAAGCTGGGTTTGAGTTTGGGGGTAATTGCCCTAAACGTTTAGGAATTTGATGCCAAAAAGGGGCCAAAAAACAAGCATGTTCCCATTTCCATTCTCAATTTTATTCTAGTTTCCAGACAATAACTAGTGTTCAAGTGTATGGATCTCTATGAAATTGCACTGCAAGGTACCATACCACAAAGGGAAGGCTGGGATTGAGTTTGGGGGTGATGAATCATAAGGGGGTTCAAAAAATTTGGGGGACTTTTATGATGTATTTAAATTGGTAATTATGGTTGCAAACTCCTTTGGAAATTTGAATTGAGATTATGACCAAATCATGAGGGAAAGATTTTTTTATTTGGAAAAGGGGGGGGGAGGTGAAAAAAAAATTATGGGGGGGAGGGGAGTTAAAAAAGAAATTGTGGGGGCAATTTTTTTTTTCATTTCAGATTTCAGAAATTGAAAATAATATTTCTTCAAATATTTCTTTTTGCAAAAAAAGGGGGGTATAAAATCTTTTTTTTTTTTTGGGGGGGGGGGGGGGGTCAATTTCGCCATACCATAGTGTATTGCACAAAAGCAAAAAATTGAATATAAATTCAAATTATATAACCAATTCTAAGTTCTTTGACTACAGTTATTCGGTGTCTTAAACCTATTATGTGCCAAATATTTAATTACAATCCAAATTCAGACCTGTATCAAGAGCAAATATTGTGTCCATTTTTGCCCCAACTGTTCAGGGTTGGACCTCTGCGGTCGTATCCAGCTGCGCTCAGCGAAGCATTTTATTGTGGTTTGGTCTATTTCACAGATACTATAAGCAATAAGGCCATTATATTTGGTGTATAGAATGATGGTAAGATGTACATGTCCCTCTGGCAGGTTTAATCTTACCTTGACCTCATTTCAAGGGTTCATTGGACAATGTTTAGTTTTTGTGGTTTGGTCTACCTCTCAGATATTACAAGAAATAGATCTGGCACGGTTCATATGACCTTGACCTCATTTCCATGGTTCATTGGTCAATGTTGAGATTTTGGTGTTTGTAATGATTGTAAGGTGTAAATGTCTATATGGTATGGTTAATATGACTGTGATCTCATTTTCCTAAAACTTAAATAAAGTCAAATTTATTTGATACTTGTAATAAAACCTTTCAAAATAAATTCAATAATCAGTAAAACAGGCGAGACATTTTAGCATGTGCACTCAAATCAGCACCAGGGGTTTCTTATGAGGACTGACACTTTCCCTTTTATAGGTATAGGTGGTACTTTTTAACCGGATTTTCTCAGGAAATATTGGTTATTGATTTGGGGATGTACGGCGGATGGGTGGCTGCCAAACAGTGTCTCCTCAATAACATGAAAACATGTGATTGAGTTATTTCTCTTTGAACAGAAATGGTTAATTATATATATAAAGTTTGATTACACTAACATGACTAATTTTCACCTGTTGATAGATAAGAGCATCTAGTAAATGTCTCACACAATTATAATTGGATTGACAGATTTATTTGAAAATTTTCTGTTTTCTAAGTGTTGATTTGATGATTATAAGCTATATAGGACTGTATAAATAAAGTTAGAAATTTACTGTTCATTATTAGACATTTTGAAGATAATCACAGATAAGTTTTAAAGATTTTTAAAAGACATTGTATTAATGATATATAAAATTTTGATTTTTTTTTTCTTTTCTTTGGTAAATTGTTTGAAGAATTTTGTGGTAGCTTTGTATGTTATTCTGTAAAAACTAATTTTCTGAATGTTTTATATATTTTTTTGTTGAAGTAAACTCCTTTAAAAACTAAGCTTATATTGTCTATTAATAAACATATATTTAGATTTCTGATTTTGGGCCCAGTTTTCAAATTTGTCCAAATGGGGTCCACAATTAAACTGTGTTTGATTTCAACATAAATTGAAAAATATATAGGGTTCTTTGAAATGCTGAATCTAAACCTGTATTTATTTTCATTATTAATTAGCTAATATCACACTGAGGTCCAAAGGGTCCTAAATTAAACTTTTGTTTAATTTCATCAAAAATTGGGATTCTTTGATATGCTGATTCTAACAATATTTTAGTGATTGCATCATATGTAATTTTAGAGTATTTAGTCATCCCTGGTTGTTTATTATGATTATTGATTATATGAATTTGAGTTATTTCCCTTTAAACAGAAATGAGTATTTCATAAAAAAAAATTTAATTCTTGGGGTTCTTTGATATGCTAATTCTTACAATATACTTAGATTTTAAATATTGAACCAAAATAGGTAAATGTCTAATTTCAAATTTTTCAGTTCTTTGACTACATTCATTTTGGGTCACAAACCTATGCAGTGTCAAATACTCAATCACAGTCCAAATTCAGAGCTGTTATAAGCTTAAATGTTGTGTCCATACTTGCTCAACTGTGCAGTGTTTGACCTCTGCAGGAAAATCCGGTTTGCTGTCACTCTGACAGCCTCTTGTCTAAATATATCATGCATAAATACATTGTAAAAGATATCTAAATTCAGGCTTTACTAATATGTAGTGTAGATTGGTGAAAGTACTGGATACAGCCTCCTAATGAAACCTAACCCCGAATAATTCAGTCGTTATATTCCACTGCTCTACGATGGCTACAGTAACGCCTGAAGGCCTTGTCAATAAAAAATCGTCAAATAATCATTCGGAATTAGCTCGGGATTTACCCATCTCGATAACATTGAGCTATTAGCTGATTGGCTCTCTCTCACAGAGAGCACCAATCAAAATCCTGGATTCGTGACACGTTTTTATTGTATAAAGGATTCAGGCCCTCGCGAGTGGGAGAGTCGATCACGGGGAGGGACTGAATTATTCGGGTTAAATGAAACCCTGAAGTTCTCCCTCTTTGCCTTTTATACATGTCATAACATGCATAATAAGGTCAATGCATTTTTGCTCCTGTCCCAAGTCAGGAGCCTCTGGCCTTTGTTAGTCTTGTATCATTTTTAATTTTAGTTTCTTGTGTATAATTTGGAGTTTAGTATGACGTCCATTATCACTGAACTAGTATACATATTTGTTTAGGGGCCAGCTGAAGGACGCCTCCGGAGGCGGGAGTTTCTCGCTGCATTGAAGACCCATTGGTGGCCTTCGGCTGTTGTCTGCTCTATGGTTGGGTTGTTGTCTGTTTGACACATTCCCCATTTCCATTCTCAATTTTATAATAGACCATATGTTGTAAAAGTATATAAACACAATAAAAAAGCTACAAAGTCCAACTACAAACAGAAAGACCATTGCCTTGAAAGAGGAAAGAAGAGAAATATGAAGTTTAATGAACATAATGAAGTCTGGGTTCCTACATCCTGGTCTTGTCAGTGACCACATGGTCAACTATCCACTGACATAATTCTTAATAATAGTATTATGTGATTTGGTTACTTTTACCTGTTTCTTTTCAGAATCACCTGTACCAACCTCAGGACAAAATATAATCTCACCAGACAATCACTCAGATTCTAACCAGGCTGTAAGGTCAAGGGTAAAACAGGTAGGTATTACTATACCCCTCAGGAGGAGAGTGTACTATTTTATGTCTATCCATCCTTCTATTCCTGTATTTTTCATTCCATCCATCCCATGAAAGTTTTGTGGCATTTTTATCTGAATCTACAAATCTAGTCTTCCTGCAATTTAGTATGGATGCATTTTCATATTCATAGCTCATCAACTCCCTGATTCCAGAATACTTCAAATTTTTGTTTGCCATCGATAGTAGGGACCATTATGTTTTCAAGTTGACACATCTTTCCATTTGTCTATCCAACATAAAACTTAATATACATGTTTTTATCATGATGTGAACTTTTTTTATTTATAATATAATATAATAAATAAAAATAAGGAGATGTGGTATTATTGCCACATATTTATTGCCAATGGCAACTATCCCCTTAAGTTCAAATGAAGTGAATGTAAGCAATTATAGGCAACTGTAAGCCCTTCAACAATGAGAAAAAACAAATACCATATAGTCTACTTTAAGAGGCCCTGATATGAAAAATTGTGAAATAATTCAACTGAGAAAACTAACACTCTAATTTACAACGAAAAACAAATATGACAGACATGAACCAACTACAACCACTGACCTACAGGCTCCTGACTTGGGACAGGCACATATAGAATGTGGCAGGGTTAAACATGTTTGAAGGCATCAGATTTATAGCCATTTATGGCTTACTATACAGTACAGGGTTTTGTCATTGTTTAAGGCCGTAAGGTGACACATATATATTTGCTCATATGGTTTTTGGCAAAAGTTTTCTCAATTGGCAATCACACCACATTTCTTTATTTTTATACTCATTTATAATTTATAACAAAACAATTAACGAAAAAAAACAGATATGACAGACATGAACCAAAAACAACCACTGAACTATAGTCTACAGACTCCTGACTTGGGACAGGCACTTATAGAATGTGACAGGGTTAATATAAAAAAGAAGATGTGGTATGATTGCCAATGAGACAACTCTCCGAAAGAGACCAAATGACACAGAAATAAACAACTATAGGTCACTGTACAGCCTTCAACAATGAGCAAAGCCCATACCGCACAGTCAGCTATAAAAGGCCCTGAAATGACAATGTAAAACAATTCAAATGAGAAAACTAACGGCCTAATTTATGTACAAAAAATAAACGAAAACAAATATGTAACACATAAACATGTTTGAAGGCACCATTTTGTCAGCTTTTTATGGCTTACTGTGGATTCATTAATATTCGTTGGATACCAATTTTCGTGGGTTTCTTGGGTACAGTTGAACCACGAATTCAAATGTACAACGAATTGCAAATTTTCTATAGGCTTTGTATGCAGAGATTATCAAAACCATGAACTCAAATATCCACGAAAGTGCAAGTTTTCATGAATCCACGAAAATTGATACCCACGATAATAAATGAATTCACAGTACTATATAGTAAGTGTTTTGTCATTGTTGAAGGCTGTAAGGTGACATGTATTTGCTCATATGGTTTTTGTGGACAGTTTTCTCAGTACAGGCGATCATACCACATTTTTTAATGCCCTACCTAGGGGCATTAGTTTTTCCGTTCTGTGTGTCCATTCGTTCGTTTGTTTGTTCGTCCTTCTGTCTGTCCCACTTCAGGCTAAAGTTTTTGGTCAAGATAGCTAGTTTTTGATAAAGTTGAAGTCCAATCAGCTTGAAACTTAGTACTCATGTTCACTATGATATGATCTTTCTAATTTTAATGCTAAATTAGAGTTTTGACCCCAATTTCACGGTCCACTGAACATAGAAAATGATAGTGCCTGAGTCAGGTTAAAGTTTTGGTCAAGGTAGTTTTTGATGAAGTTGAAGTCCAATCAACTAGAAACTTGGTACACATGTTCCCTATGATAGGATCTTTCTAATTTTAATGCCAAATTAGAGTTTTGACCCCAATTTCAAGGTCCACTGAACATAGAAAATGATAGTGGGAGTAGGGCATTCGTGTACTATGGACACATTCTTGTATATACTCATTCCAGAAAAATTGAACTGTCATAGTTATGACTTTGATAGTTACTTTCAAATGAAATAAGTTAATTCACTGAACTAAAAAAACACCAAATGTCACTGACATTTATGACATGTCAAGTCCAATTACTATTTATATGTTTATATATATTCTTATTCAAGTCCCAATTAGATAATTAGTTTCCATAATTACATACACCCTGTGCAGGCCAACATATGCCCATATAAGTAAGTTAATCTCTTGTTAATGCTGTAAGCCAGGTGTATCCCTTAACTTGTATCATAAATTTACTCATCTATCTAACCATGTCTACAATGTGTAGCAACTTTTCAACTCATTTCCATTATCATGATTATTTTTATGCAAAATTGTTGTGATTTCTCTTTTCTGTGTTGTTTTTAATTGAGGACAATTTTTTTATTTCACTTGCACAGCTCAATAATAAGGTCCATATATATTGAAATAAACATAAAAAATTACCATATAAATAGACAGTTATACTATGAAAGCTACTTAAATCTGTCATATTTTAATCAATATAAATTGATAATACAAATCAGATTTGATAACTTAGTTTCAATGTTTACCCGTCATGTACTTAACCAAAGTTATCTTATATTATCAAATATTGTTTATTGTTTATCTGTACAGATCATTTCATATATACTATGTCATTTTGTGAAAGCTGTTAAAAAAATCTATAGCATAGTCACTTAATACATGTACAAGTTTTAGTAGATCCTTAACCCGAATAAGTCAGTCCCTCCCCGTAATCGATCTCTCCTACTTGCGAGGGCTTGAATTCCTAACAAGATAAAAACTCTTCACGAATCCTGGCTTTTGATTGGTGCCCTGTAGAAGAGGTGACCAATCAGCAATCAGCTCAATTTTATCGAGATAGGTAAATCCCGAGCTAATTCCGAATGATTAATTGAAGATTTTTTATTGTCTATGCATTCAGGCGTTAATGTAGTAATCGTAGATCAGCGGAATAATACGACTGAATTATCCGGGTTAGTAGATCCTGAACACTATTGAATAATTGTTAGGGTATAACTTATCTCCAACTGAGACAATCAGGACCATGTTGTGACTGTTGTTTGTCTTTGTTTGTCTACTAGAAAGTAACCCAGGCAATGCAGTTATGAAAGACACAAGAAGATATTTATGAATATGTCTGAAAACTCATTATTTGTGAATTGAAGTTTAAAAGAATGTACCAGTTCAGTAAATAAAATGGTCTCATGATTCAAACAATCGTAGTTAGTGTTTATCAAAGACCCTTGATAGAATATACCATATAGTTAAGTTACATATGTCACTGAATTGCCAAAAAATTAACAGCACTTCTGTTGTTTGAGTGTGCCTGAGATGGAGGTATTATGGAGGTAGTATACAGATAGGCATAAAATCCTAAACCTACAGTAATGACGTAGAGGACATCCAGAAATCATTTTTTTTCAATTATTCCCCAACTTATTCACCATGAATAAACATTAGGGAGGATGCATACTTCCTTTAGGATAGAGGGCCATATTGATGATTTGATCTTGAAGAGGGAGAAGTGACACACAAAAACAGGGGGTCCCCATTTGGTATTATACATTTTCTCTATTTTCCGTAGTTCCTATTATCTTTTTAATGTTTTGTCTGTTTTGCATAATATGAAAAATGTTCATGGCTATAATTGACATTTTCCTACTATCTCCTTATATTCATTCTTTTTTAATTCAATTAATTTGGATGAGACTAATTGATTATGACACCATACCGGTGGATGAGTTAACATACTGTCATATTTTAATAGTATTGATATAAATGGTGGTAATAAAAAAAAATGTGTGTCTGGTTTTTTTTTATATTGGCAAGTTATGTCAGATACATGGACTTTGAAAGACTTCACCTATATACAAAATAAAAAAAACTAAATGCAGAGGTTATCATAATCTCAGCATTGCACACAATAAACATGATAAAAAACTTCAATGATAATATATTTTAAGATAACTTTTAATTGTTTTGAATATATTTAATAAATAATCTTGTTTTCAAATTTATGAAAGTAATAAAGTATTGCAACAAATTTAATATAAAAAAAAACTAGTATCACTTTTTGTGTTTACTCTGTGAAGGAAAGTACACTCTGACATGTTGTCCCTCTACACATAACCTCCGTATTTCCCAGCGAATTTTATCATTGCAATCACTACATGAGAAATCAAACTTCCCTTCCGTAATATGTTTATAGCACCTCTTATTAGGAGTAGTCCAAATGTCCTGAACTAATTGTAAACTTCGCTTCATATTTTCCTTTTCTACTTTCAGTTTATCACATGTGATCTCAAGTCTACTTTCACTTTGTCTTAAATCATTTGCATAATTCCTCATCATGTTTACTTTCTCACTATATATTTTGATAACAACATCCTTATCAAGAAGTTTGTATTCAGGTGAATTTTCTAGCTCCTCAACTGTCCGTGTCTTGGCAAACTCAAACGAGACTTTGAATAGATTTTTTAATCCATATTTCTGAGCTAGGTAGAGAGACTGAATTGATCTCTCCTGATTTAATAGAAATTCCTCGCATCTCTTCTTTATTCTTTCTATTTCATATTCTTCTGATAGTTCTAATAAATAACTCACATTTTCCTCTGAAAAATGAAAGGAAAAAAATACCGGTACTATCAGAACCATTCATAGAAGTAAATATGTTCAGATTTAGTTTTGCAGGGACTTTCATAAAACAGGAGACTTTTTGTTTATGTTGTTTGGTTACTGTCTCTTCATGCTCTTTTTTTGTCCTAACTTTTTATATACCTTGTATACAATTCAGTGTATTCCTGTCATCTGTTGCTCATATATGACTGACTTTCAAGTGTACAAGATTCTTATCAACTATAACTTTTTTTTACATTACTACACAAAAAAAATCATATAAACAAGGAATTATTTGAATCAGGAATCAACTAATCAACGTGCATGGCTAAGAGGGGGTTAGTTAGTTCATACTGAAATATCAGTGAAAGTAAAATAAACCTTAGCCATGCCCGAACTCTATTTAGTTGGGTTAGTTTTCATTATACATCTCATCCGTTTTCCAAAATTCAAAATTATTCCAGATTCAAACAATTCCTTGTTTATACTACATTCATTGCAACCTTAATATTTTATAAGCAACACAGGTTTATGAATGAAAGCTTAATAAGGAAAGTTTTATTTAAACAGATTGTTAGTTCATTTATCAATAATAAAATCTTTACACAAGCAAAATAAGTTTGAATGAATGATGTAATTGTTTTGTGTATTTTGGTATTTTTACTCAGATGTTAGTTTATGAAGGTAATTATAATTTTCAAATCTCGTGGAAAATGTCAGGAGTTTTCATGGGAATACTGCTTATTAATTTTGAAACCATCACATCATCACTAATTTACCCGAGGTGCAATAAGTTTCTGTGTTTTAATGGGAGGTAATTCCTATCAAACATACCAGATATAGGTTTCTGTGTTGCGTAGATACAATGCAGTAGTTCAGTAATCTCATTCAGTTTCTTGTCAGACAGAAATATTTCCTTGGCTTCCTCAGGATTCCCATAATCCTCCAGAAACATCCGCTTCCATACTCCTGACCATTCAGCTAGGTAAGATTTATGTACAAACAAGTTTGTACCGTCAACAATCAGGGTAATGTCACTGAGTTGATCTGGCTGTGTAAAATCATGGAGTACAGGATCATCCATTGCTGTTCTTCATCCTGAGTGTGATCTTTTAAATATAAATAAGAAAATTATGAAAAAAATGCTAAATGCCAAAAATCTAAATATTAAAAGTCCAAAATTACTGAAAAATAGATGAAAAACGGAAGGGATCACCAAAGAAATATGTGTTATTCTTGATTAATAGATGATTTGTATTATCAACAACAGAAAAGATGGAAAATAAGGAGTGATGTGTTTGTCCTAACTTACGTGCTGACTATGCGGTATGGGCTTTGCTCATTGTTGAAGGCTGTATGGTGACCTATAGTTTTTAATTTCGGTGTCATTTGGTCTCTTGTGGAGAGTTATCACATTGGCAATCATACCACATCTTCTTATTTTTATTTATACATACAAGCTATGTCACTGGAGATGGGTCCCATAAAATTCCTAAAGAAATCCAACTTTGTGTCTTTGAACAAAAATAAGATAGAAATATATGAGTAAGAAAGCAAAACTACTTACATGTGTTGGATCAATATATTCTATGCAGTGGGAATATGAATATTCTCAAATAACGTGTAGTAAACTGAAGTGTCATACATAGTTAGTGGTAAGTATTTAGTATATATCGGTGAGTGGGATTTAAAACAGAAAAAAATCAATATTTTACTGTGCCATTTACGCCCAAGTTTAAAAACTTGAAGAGGATTTTTAATCAATTTAATTAGTTGTAGGTAAATAAACTTCATTGAAATGTAAAGAATGGGCAGAAATGATAAATCCTTTATTAATTTTACAATGTTAAATTTCTGTAAATATGATTATTATTACATGTACTAATAAAATCTGAAAAAGAAGAATAACTCCTTTTATGCCACGCTGCGGTGGAAGGGGGCTTTCAGTGTTACCCTTGTCTGTCTGTCTGTATGTCTGTCCGTACGTATGTCCCAAAATAAGTTTCCATTCTCTAACTTTAATTAGTTTGCCTTAACCAAATGTTATGAAACTTAAACACAATGCTTATTTTCACAAAATACAGATCAAGTGCGAATTTGGATGGCGTCACTTCTACTGTTCTAGAGTTATTAGATATAAGAAGATGTGATATGAGTGCCAATGAGACAACTCTCCATCTAAGTCACAATTTAAAGTAAACCATTATAGGTCAAAGTACGGCCTTCAACACAGAGCCTTGGCTCACACCGAACAGCAAGATATAAAGGGCCCAAAAATGACTAGTGTAAAACCATTCAAACAGCAATGAACAGGAAAACAAACGGTCTAATCTATATAAAAAACGAGAAACACTTATGAACCACATCAACAACGACAACCAGTGAACGTCAGGCTCCTGACTTAGGACAGATGCAAATAAATGCAGTGGGTTTAAATGTTTTAATAGGCGCCAACCTTCACCTAACCTGAAACAAGAGTGTAACATCACAACATAGAAAGATGCCCCTTTACAAATGGAAAAATTGCTGAATTTTTTCGTTTCTGTTCTCTAACTTAAGTTTGCCTCTACCAAATGTTATGAAACTTAGACACAATGCTTATTACCAAAAAAAAAAAAAACAGATCACGTGCAAATTTGGGTGGCATCACTTTTACCGTTCTGGAGTTATGTCCCTTTATAAAGTTATATGAAAGAAGGGGCATCATCTGTGTCCCATGGACACATTCTCCATTTATTTTTAGTTCATTCTTTAGTCATTAAGTTTATTGACAAAAATATTAACAGTATTTGAGAAAAAATTACACTTTCTGAATTATAAATCAGTCTGTGCTTGCACATGACTGTCCAATAGGGAGATAATTGTGAGTGTAGATGTTAAAATCTCCAAGAAATTCAGAAGTTATCTAATATTTGAAATTGAACAATAATACTTTGAAACTAATGGTGACAATACAGTGTCCTTTCCTAAGTCCTGCAAATCTATATATATGTTTAAACTTTGAAATTATCAGGTTGGTTAATTTTAAACTGAAAGTGAAATGAAAAAAAGGGCCCTCAAGGGTTTCAGGGAAATAATTCTTCAAAACGAGGTTTAATCTAAGGAAATTGAGCTTTTCAAAATAATCTTGCAGTAAAAGAATATAGCACATATTTTGTGTCTGCATGATGCTGAAGCTGTTCAAATTTTGAGTAATTTTGACTGCAATCATGAAACTGAGAATTTCATATTGTGAAGTATTTTGTATTCACCATGTTCACTAAAACTTTGATAATTAGGGGTTATTTTTTATCTTATTTAGTTGTACTTACCTTTGAAAATTAATTATAACAACTTTTCTTTTCTCCAAAATTTTAAAAGATACAGATTTTCTTGAATATTTGTGCTTTAGAGTAAAATTAATTGTTCAATTTGAAATTCAATATAAAGCAAAGGTAACCTGCAGATTTAAGATTTCAAGTGTCTGTTTATATTAAAATCAAATAAAATGTGCACTGTAAACTTAAAAAAATTGATTTTTCAATTTACACAAATGTCAAATCACCTTTTCTTATATCCTACACAAAGATCTATTATCTTTGTATATGTTTTACTAAACTTTAGGCTCAAACTTTAAAAACAAAATAAGTTGAGTATAATTGTCACAATTCTGTTCACAATAGAAGTATTACATTTTAACAATTGTAAATATTTGTTTAAAGTATTTTATTTTTAAAGTTCTGAACTGTAATAATCTATCATTAAGGGTATCTGTAAGAATGAGGAATCTATAGACTAAAATTCTTGTTACTTCACCATAGTGGGGGTGGGGGGGGGGCTAAAATTCTTGTTACTTCACCAGTGGGGGGGGGGGACTAAAATTCTTGTTACTTCACCAGTGGGGGGGGGACTAAAATTCTTGTTGTTTCACTATATATATAGGGGGCAATGGATATTGATGCTCTCATTAATCTTTTTATCCTCGTCCTATTAAGAAGATTGTAAAATTCTGTTTTCAATCAACTAAATTTTAACTAAGCTTTATCATGTTTATGCTATTTTGAAATCATGAAAATAATTATTTATTTCAGCTCTGCTGTGAAATTTCAGCCTAATCTTTAACCAAATTGATAGTTTCAGGTTATGTGTTAATGTTGGAAGAATAGACCTTATTGCTATTTGGGAATCTGTGGCATTTGACTGAAGATTTTGAACTATTGATGTCATACAATAATATCTTTTTCTCTTTTCCCTTGTGGTGTCAAAAATTTACTGGAATGTCTGTGATGTCCAGTAGTGTTGCACAATACACAATAAGGTGTATTTTAAAAGTATCATGATGAAACTAACTACCAGAGGCCTCCAGTTATCCTGATTGTACTTTGAATATTTCTAATAAAGCCTTTTTTGGATAAAAAAAATTAAAAAATTATTGTAATCACTGGAAATGTTTTTAATTGTTACCCTAAAGAAGATGATTTTTATCAGTTAGTTAAATAATTTTAGTTCTAAGTTCATGAAGCTAATATTATTGCTGGCTTAAGCTATATGGTCCGAGTACACAGTTATTTCGTAGTGCATTTCTTTTAGACAACAAATGAAAATTAAAAAAATCCCACCTGCGCTTTCTCAATAATATTTTTACAGTGTGTTGTACTACTTTTGGGACAAATTATATCAAAATTATAGAAAACTTCATCGGCTCTAACTCAAAATATGGACAATTTTATGTTAAGGGGGTCTTGAAATCTTTTGACAGCTTCCGAAGTGCTTATTTTTAACCTTTTTCAGCTGGACCAAATCACTACTTTACTTTAAAATTCATGACCCAAATTTTTTTACAGTGTAATTTCATCCCCCTACTTGCTATTTAAGGCATAAAACATGGAGAAATAAATTTGGAAGGGGTATAAAAAAAATTGGCAAGTAACACACTGTCCACACTAGGGACTATATTTGTGGACAACGAAAATCAAAGGACGATAACTGTGTACTCGGACCATATAGTTTTCACTTTAAACTGAATTGCTCTTCATTGTTAGAAAGATGTTCATAAAATATGTGCTAGTACCTATATCTAAAGATGAATGCCATATGTAATATCTTAGACTTGTATGGCCAGTATTAGCACTCCTAGGGTGAATTCAACTGCTATAATGCATATAAAACTTAAAGACATGAAAGTCATGGTGTAAAAGTGTTAACAGTATTTAACATTATAAGAATTTGTGGAAAAGTTCATAACCGTTATAATTATAAACAAATCAAATTTTGCAGCATCAACATTTTTTCTTACCTTGAATTATTGAACATCCATATATATAAATATTTCCCAGGTAAAATCCAGGTGAGAAATTTAATTACTCTATGCTGAAAGATTTACCCAGGTATTCATTACAGAATAAATACAAATGTATACTATATAAATATAAGTCAGAAATTTAAATTTATAACATTTGTTAGATTTAATTCAATTTATGTATATAAATATATAAATGTGTTGACAGCATTGTGTGAGGAAAGTATATTTATAAAAATTATTTTTAAAAGATTTGTTATAGGTCCATTAATTTTATAGCCAGTGTAATAGTAATTACAGTTGGTATTTATAACAAGTTTGAAATGGTTGACCATGAAATTTTTTCTCTACCTTTTTCTTGGAGGAGAGTAAATATGTTCCTTTATAGGTAGCAGCATTTAAATGGTATAATATTAGGGGTGAATAAGAAAAATCAAGATAATAATTTTGTTATAGTAAAAACACCTTCAGAAGCACTTTCTTAAAAATATGAAAACTTGATCAATCAAGAAACTGTCTGTATCTGGCTTTTAAACAGTTCTTTAACATGCAAACTCTGAAAACATCTATAGGAAGAATTATTTCAAAATCAAATTCTAACTTTTTCAGAAATGTTTAAGGCCATGCAAAAATGATTGTTTGTTGCCCCTAACCCTGCCAGGTCTTATTTAACCCACCCGGTCAATTCTTTTGTGTTTCCAGATGAAGAAAAAAGATGCTCTGCTTTCATTTGACAATTTTCAATGATGCTTTTTAGAATTGACAATCTCTTAAAAGTGTGTCAACATTGCTCAATTCCTTTAGTTTCACATAGCTTATACCCCAATATAGAATGTAAAACAAGAATTTACTATCAGGTTAACAGTAATATTCTCTAGAGCTTCAACTGATTTTTCACCAAAAAAATTAAAATAAAATAAAAAAGTTTGTCCTGCCTGTTGGGCCTTAATAATTTTCCCATGAACATTAATTTTTCCATGGCCTAAGCCAAATTTAAACAATTGCATACAAGTGAGACTTTTCAAATATTTTTCATTATATTTTTCTAGTGTTCTTCTTTCCATTGTACCTTTCTAAACAACAACGTATTAAACTACATTTTTCCTGATATTAACCTCTGCCTGGGTTCTCTCCCCCTCTTTTCTCTCTGTTAGATTTACTATCAGTAAGTTATATAAGTTATGTGTATTGAAGATTTTAAAGTTTGTCTGATTTACCTTCAATGTAAACAGACTAAATCATATGTTTATTTACTTGTTATTAACATGACTAAATTATTTTATCTTTATGATCTCTTCATCCAGATTTAATAGGGTTGAACATCAAACTTATATTATGCCACAGAAATACATGTCATTTTCTAATGTTATAAATAGGGCGTTTATCTTTGCAAATAGAACCAGATTTCTACTATCCAACATTGCATCCTTTTCCCAGTGACAGTCCAAAAAGTCTGCCCTTCATCCCAGTCCTTATACTTCTTGGATTCATTAAATAACAATCAATAGTCTCAAGTAGAAATTTTTAGCTCTACCTTTAGTCATGTTTCAGTACATTTGAAATGTTAACTGAGCATGTTTTGTACTTTTGCAATAAACCAACAATTGAATATATGTAATTTTATGATAAATGCATGCAGCTCAATTGCAAGGATATTTGGTCAGGTTGTTTTGTTTTACTCGAATGCTTCATTTATACAAAAAGTAAGCACTTAAAAAGCAACAAAAATTAATAGCTATCTGTTTCTGCACTGTTTTATTTTTTTAAATCAAATTAAGATGTAAAAAATTGTGTAGATGATAACTGAGAAATATATGAATGGGTTTTGATTTTGACACGAAATATATTTATGGGGGTCGTGATTTTCCCAAGACTTCGATACATGAATGGGGGAGGATTTTTGAAATCCTAGCTGCACATTTATACCGAAAATTCTTTGAGACCCCCTTTTGGAATACATAGGGCATTTAAAAATGTAATAACACAGTGAAGGTGACTTACCTTTAAATTGTGTATTAAACAAATGATGAATTGTTTCTCCTTAATAAAATCAGCTTTATATAAATATTAACACTAAGGTCATTATAAACAGAATAAAAGTCAACTTTTAGTTACAATTTATTATACCAATATGGTTGGCATTTTGACAGAATTTCCTAATCAACTTTTATTTAATATATTTAAATTACATATTAATCCAAGATCAAAACCCGTTAGACATATTTGATCTTTGATAATGACTTCTGTTCACATTTCACTTGTACAAAACATGGAATTAGTTTGTAATAGATAATGGGTTTCAATGGGAAATGATTTATTGTTTGACAAATCGTTCCTTTCCGTTTAGTCTTCTTTTTCTACAGCTGCATAACAAATGTTTGAGACACTAAAGATTACTTGTAGTTAGTATGACTGGTATTTAAACCAAAAGTAATTTGCAACATCTCTTTTTATTCAAATCAAAACACAATAAGACTATTTCAAGTGAAAATATCCTATCTTATCTATATGACATTCAAAAAAACTTATTTTCTAATTTAAACTTTGTTTCAATCAGTTGATGGCAATAGATACAATTGTGTTGATGTGATATTTCAATCCTGTGAAATATCATACAAAGAAGACACATATTCTTATATCAAAACGATCAACACTCTTCAAAATCACAGATAAAACTTTGTTGTTATAATGTTTTGTTACCTTTTAGCTTTGCTGAATTTTCTTTTAATTGAAAAATCTGTTTTTATGAGCAAATCATTTACCGGTACCAGAATTTTTTTTAACAAAATACTAGTAGCTTGGTATGGTACTTGTAAGAAATATTTAGTACCCCCAGGTTAACATGGTTATCTAATAATCAACGACAATTAAATTGCTGATACTTTCCATCACTCTGAACGCAGATTTTGTTGACAGTTATACAATTCGAGATGTTTGGTTTCCAATGTTTCTTACAATAACTGTTTTGCACTTTTGATTGTTTTGATTTGAACAACAGAGCTTTTGTGGAAAAAACATAATTGTGTCTTACTTACTTTATTTTAAGCCTGATATGAATTTTGATTACTTTTTATAAATGCCATTGCACTATTCATTTTATATTTACAGATTCTTGAATCCAAACCAAATGGATTATGGAGCACTCGATTTCCTGTAATATACAAAGAAAGATTTCAGGAGGATCCACCCGGAAACCTTCTAGAGTTAGTGAAGGCTTGGAAAGATTTATCTCGTGTAGAATTGTAAGTCTGGAAGTGGAAATGAATCAGTCTTAAGGATGACAGATTATCAATAATTTCATAAATTAATTTTTGAACTTCATGAACTTACTTTGTGATAGTTTTGTATCACATGCAACTCAACTGAGTCAAGTAGATTAAGAATGGGGTGATGTCATAAGCTAATACCTCATTAATGTTACCTCACAGTGTTCTCCCCAGGATTTTTGGATAGCACCAGGGTAACGCGTGTGAACAGCTTGGTGAAATGATTCATACAATCAGTTGTGTCGCGTGACGTCGCTATATTTCTAGTTACTGCAGTTTTTATGTCTCTTGTTTTGTTTTAATACTGTGGTACTGTGTTATTTCAGAATATTATTGGTTAAAAAGATCAATAACCAGTTTGTATACTTTTAATATTTTTAAAAAATAAATAAAACATGATTCATTACATAATATTCATCTAAATTAAAAGTAATTAAATCTTTTATAAAATCCATGATCAATAAAAATAAAATATCATTCAAACAGGAACATATATATTGATAGATATACTGTTCCCAGATTCAAAAGAGAACAAAAATGTTCAATTTAAAAAACTTTCTAGTTTCTAGAAAGAAAGTTGTTGTATGTGAAAGGATTCTTGTCATAAGGAGATATAAAATTAACAAGAACAAAATTGTGTTATAATTTGAACCAGTTTCTATCTTAAATTTTAACAGAGACATATTATACAATGTATTATATGTCTCTGATTTTAATAAAAAGAAATTTTTGATAAATTTTAAAACATTTTGCCATAGATTTCATGTACATGTAAATATTAACCTTTCTTGTCTTTGGTGATAATCAAACATAGATACAGACTTAATACTGCACTGAAATCTAAATCTTTATTTGTCATGATCATGATGATATATTTAAAAAGAATTCCTAAATCTGTAAATTTATCTTAGGTCTATAGATCTATAAGTAACCATATTCAATGTCAACAACAAAGTCTCCCTATTTTCCCGCCTAAATGACAGGAAGTAGATATAAATAGATTTAACATGTGCTTATGGATTAAAATTGCAAGATCACTTCTGTTATTCATAAATGATCATATGGATATAGATATCCAGTTTGAAGGTACAGTCATGCATTTTATTTATAGAATAGAATAGATTGCAGTTAATTGTAAATAATCTTGAATATTCTACGTGAACTAACTGGTTCATGTGATCCTTCCCCTTTGAATTTCTTGTTGACAGTTTGAAACCGGAATATCATGCAATAATTATGTCATAATTAAAGTTAATTTTGGCCATGGTTTAATCAGAGACATATAAAACTATAATATAAGTTGAGCTAACTTTATCATGTACAAAATAATATGTACCGTCGTGTGTACAACTATCGGGTCAACACGGTTTGTTTACAAAGTATTTGCCGACTTGTCAGGTGGTGAGTGATGCCTTAAAATAGTTATCTTTGATCATAAAGTTATGATCTCTAAATTAAAACACAAAAGAATCATATAAAAAGTGTTAATTACATCGATTCAATTCATCCAATCAACAAAGGTTAACCTCATAAAGGTAAATCGATCACGTGGTGTAAACAATCCGTGTTGAACTGGTTTGAACTGGTCAAATTTCACCTGGAATTTTATACCGCATGGAAAAGATTTAACAAGTCGTTTAAAACTTTACCGATTTACGATTTTTTAACTGAAAATTTTAGCACCACGGAGAAAAATTATACATCGCGGTAAGAACGATACCACCACGGTAAAAAATTATACATTGCGGGCCCGCGGTCCTTTAAGGGTCTGGGGAGAACACTGCTCAGAAAATAGCAATAAATAGATTATCCATGGTCTTTCAAGCTTTATATGCACTTCCTTAGTAAAACACTTCATACTGTCCACAAAAGCAGAATTAAACTGGAATCTCAAATGTTGGCAGCTTCATTTGTTTGACATCATCAACCATCTTGAAACAACAATTTTGTGACAAAGTATTTCATTGTGTTAAATTGTCAGATTGATGTTATGCACTGACAGATAATAGACCTTTTCAGTGTGAGAGGAAAAAATGTTAAAAAAGTGTTTTGGTGAAATTCTGTATTTTCCCAGAAAGAAAAATGAATGAGTGCTGTTTATTTAAACTTTTCTGGGAAAATGTAGATCAATAAAAGTAGATGTGGTTTAAACATCAGTGAGACAGCAACCCAATGACCAAAAACAAAGAAACAGAAATTAATGAACAAATTGAGGTATATATTATTGTGAACATACCGTCTTTAACAATAGACAGGTGTCTATACAATATGGCATGCAAAAAATCATTGGAAGTTTATTAAACAGAGTTCCATTTGTACCAAGTCCCCCAAATAACAAAAAAAAATACAAAAAAACATCACTATAAGGTTCCAAACTTGGGACAGGCACATGGACATGTGGTGAGGTTGAACCAATTTTAGTATCTCAATCCTCTCTTTTTTATCTCTATCAGTAAAGGAACGAAAGATACATAAAAGGGTTTTATACAAAAAAAGTACTTAACTTTATAATAAAAGTTTACAAAAAACCATGTAGAAACAAAACAAAAATAACAATAATGTATTAAACAATGACCAGGTTCAGAAAGTAACCTCAAAAGCCTGCTACTTATTTTCATATCCTGAAAGGGTTGTTTTGTATTGTCAATAACACAAACAACTTGCACAACACTCTCTAAAAAACTGTTGACACAATACCAGTCTGCATCAAAATCTTTTCCAACTATTAATCCTGTCCCCTTTTCCCTAGAATGTGACCTACCGGTACCCAATTAGGCCTATTATCGGGTTTGTACTAACATGAGCAACACGACCGGTACCACATGTGGAGCAGGATCTGCTTACCCTTCCGCAGCACCAGAGATCAACCTCAGTTTTTTGTGGGGTTTGTGGTGCTCAGTCTTTAGTTTTCTATGTTGTGTTTTGTGTACTGTTGTTTGTCTTTTTCTTTTTTATCCATGGCGTTGTCAGTTTATTTTCGACTTATGAGTTTGAATGTCCCTTTGGTATCTTTCGCCTCTCATTTAATCAGAAGACAAATATTCAGACATTTTCCTTATGTGTCTAAACAAAAGTTTTGCAAAAATTTACTAGTAAAATAAAATTTTACTAGTCTTGGGCATTTGACTAGTGACTAACAGTGCAGGCTGCAATACTTTATAATTACAAAAATTACAAAACATTTTAGCAAGATACAGACAATATTTACTAGATTTTAAATTACTTGACAGAGAGTATGTTTTATTTACAGTTCTTTATATTATTGTGCATGACACAGGTTATTGACACAGTATTTTATATTTACAGTAACACATTAACACAGACAGAAGTATTCTATCCTGTAAAAGAAACATCACCACCTCCTGTACAAGCTATCCCATCTCCAAAGAAAGATGTTCCAGTTCTTACAGAAATTCCATTTCCTATCCAAAATAGTTCTCAGGTAATTCTACTTCCTGTCAAAATTAGTTCTAAAATAGCTTCATACTTTAGTTATCATTCCTGATTTTTAGGCAGTTAAGCTGCCTTATGTTACCACCCTAGATTTGTGTTCTTCCCACTGAATGGTGTAAAAAGTGCTATTGTTATTATCTAGCTGCCGATTATGTTATTAATAACTAATTGGGCACTTTTTTCATACTTTCAATTCTGGAATACAAAAAATATGACCAGAAAAACCTTAAATGATCGTCGAACAACCCAAAAGATTTGAAGTTGCACATAGGAAGTAGTGCTCAATAGAAATCCTTGTGTAGTTTATTTTCTTCTGTACTTTTGGCTAAGATGTCAAAGAACAATTGTATGAAATATTTAATCGCCGAAAATCTCTAAAGACAAGTCGTTTACATTTCCCAAATGGCAAAAGTCGTAGGAATATTGTTTGTAGGCAATACGTATTACAGTAGTCTTAAGTTGGCGGCAATTTTAACCTGGAAGACGAAATTTACGTACCTTTTAAATTTGGAGGATTCTGACGATAGAAAGGTAATTATTGTTAATCATGATATTCTTTTTGTTTGAGATGAGTGTTAATAAATTGTGTATTACATTTAAATTTCTTTCTTTTATATTATTCCGTTTTTTACATAAATGACCTTGTCAAGTATGAATGCACCAACAGGTGATGTTTACACTTGTTATTTTTGAATGAAAACCGGAAATCAAGAAGGTCACACTAATAAGCGAAAAGAAGATTATAGAGACAATAAGCGACAAGTAGAAAAAAGTTAGCGACAGGAAGAATGAATTTGCGACAAGAGGATTAATTTAGAGACAAGAAAGTTTATATACTATTAAAATAATAAATTTAAAGAAAAGTCAATTGATTACAGTTGATTTTTTTCTGTTTTGTAAAGTTTTAAATTCTGTTGCATTTAGAAGCCCTACGTACTTCTTGACACTTCTTGTCGCTTCTTGTCTCTAATTAGTGATACCTTGTAAATATGTCAATTTTGCCGAGAATGACAGTAGAATGTGATATTGATATTAGACCTAGAAAGATCGTATGATCATAGTAAGTCACACGAAAATGTAGAAAACCCATTCATATATTACTGTTTACAGGTACAGATGTCTGAAAAATGTATAAAATCAGCGAAAATCAATAAAGAGCAAATGTGGATTGGGAAATATATGCGGATAGAAGAATTCGATCTACATTATCTTGATTATGACATGAAGCAAGTTTCCGACTCTCAGGCACTTGTATATATCCATGGGAAGATTTAGGAGCTCATAATATACGTTGATAGTGGATCTTCCCATGCATAAAAACAAGTGCCTGTGGTCATGGTGGTCCGACTTTGACATTTCAATGTTTATGACATTTTTTCTAAACCAGAACTTTTTTTATTTCTGGGGCTAAAGAAAATCTTCATTCATGGCTAATTTTAAAGAAGCTATATCTTTCAATAAGTGTAAAGTCCAAGAATGTTTGACCAACCGTTTATTTATTCCAATCTTGGTATAGATCTCAAGTAACATCATGGACTTGGAGGGGGCGGGTCATTTACATTTACTAAAGGCAGGTCAACCAGACCTCACCTTTGATTCCTGTAATAGTAAGGCATTATCTGATTTGTTTCATTGTACCGTAGAATTAAATTGAACAAACTCAGTGTTCTCCACAGGGAAGCAAGTCAACTCACACTATAGCAAAGTCGTACCACGCCACCCAATTGATACCACTAAAAGTCAACTCAAATCAACATTAACTACTAAATTTTGGTATTCACAATATAATTCTGTCTGATAGACCTATCAGAGACCATGTGTCAACTTACAACAGAGGCAGACTAGAGCATACTATATTAAATGACATGTACATTGTATGTATAAAATTGAATAAAAGAAATAAAATTTAACATAATTTTATCTCTCTGACTCTCAAACTGCTCTTCTTTTTAATTTGTCAGAAATCAAACTTTGATCTGACCCTTAAAAAATAATATCCCATGATCCAATAATGATTTCTTTTCAATTTCATGGACAAAACTTGTGTAAATATATTTTATCATGATTGTATGTCTAAATAAACAATATAAATATTTGTATTTGTTTTTATTTCAGCTAAATTCCAATACTTGGCTTTAATATCCTAGAAGTGACAAGACATACAAATGTCATGTACAATACATGATACTATCTTAGTAGCTGCATTGACTAGTCATCATAATAATTCCATGACCGCTATGAAACTTTAGACCTTTTTGATGTTTTGAATATAGTTATACATGTATATTTACACATATGATCAAAGAGGGACGAAAGATACCAGAGAGACAGTCAAACTCATAGATCGAAAACAAACTGACAACGCCTTGGCCAAAAATAAAAAGACAAACAGACAAATAATAGTACAGATGACACAACATAGAAAACTAAAGACTAAGCAACACGAACCCCACCAAAAACTGGGGGTGATCTCAGGTGCTCCGGAAGGGTAGGCAGATCCTGCTCCACATGTGGCACCCGTCGTGTTGCTTATGTTATTACAAATCCGGTAAATAGTCTAATTCGGTAGGTCACATTCGTGAAAAGGGAAGGGTGTTGTAGCTACGACAGAAGGAACATATCCGATATCATCTGTGAAAGGGTTATCGTATCAATTGCGAGATATATACTCCGTATGCAGGGGCTGCTGGAATGTTGCTGCATAGAAATGGAAAGTTCACTATTGGGAAGCTGAAATCATCTCTTTTGTCGCAAAGTTTTGTTTTCAACCGATCCTCATTGTCAATTTCTAGATGTAAGTCAAGATATGAGGCAGACTTAACTGTACAAAGTACATGTCTATGAAAATTTTTACCAGGTCTTATCATATGACGACTAGTCAGACAAATTTTGGTTCAGAATTCTGACAGGAATTTTTACAAAATTGCCAGGGGTTACAACACATGAATATAATTTGTCATGGAGTTTACTGTAACGGTCCAGCTATTTTTAGAGGCTGTCTAATGATAATATCAGACCTATGATATGTCTGTGCAACTGTTACTATAAAATGTGGGAGATACATGTACATTGTATTATTGCACACTATCAATATATGTACAAGTAGTAACCCAGGTATCAGTTATATGAAGATAGTTTGAATACATAATGATGATACAATGTGTAGATACATGAAATATGTTTTATAAAGTATGTAAGAAATGAAGAATATAAACATATTAAAAAAAGACAGACAAAATATTTGTATGAAATTTGATGTAAATGTAATAGGTTGGACACTTAGAAGTACAATAATGTAAAAGAAAATTAAAAGCATTTCTAGCCAAACAACATAATCTTTTTGTGTAATATGATCCATGCATGATAAACAATAAAATTACCACACCTCAGATTGTTCCCAGTATTATTAAATCAGTTTTTGTTCCAGTGACACCTGCTGATCTAACTGAAAACTCTTAGAACATAGTGGAATTAAACTATACACCACTCTGGAAAACCTTAATTCTGATGATATTATTCCTGCATAAGAAAAATTCATTCATAAGTGTATTGCATGTATTGAGAAGTTGATAGAAGTAAGCATCTGTATGTCACATACGGCCTGTAACAATGTGCAAAACCCATACTGCATAGTATAAAGCTGTAAATGGCCTTGAAATGACAATTCCATTAAGAAAACCATCGTCCTGATATATGTACAAATCAATAATGAAAAATAAATATGATATACAGCAACAAATGACAACCACAGAATGACTTTGGACAGATACACACGTAATCTGGCAGGGCTAAACATGTTTACTGGTGCCAAACCTTCCCCTTACCTGGGACAGTGTACATATATCTTCTCAGACATTCAATCATCGAAAGGATACATATTTTAAAGTAATTTAAAAATGAATAACAAATGTTTGAAAAAAAATGGTATATTGTTAGAGAAAAGTGTGTAGGATAGTGGAAATCAGTACAGCACATGACAAAAAAAGAGATATAACAAGCTGTGATAAACAATTTAAGCAACACTGTCACAGTTTTCATCAAGTTTTTGATTAACTGCCTATAGCGCTTACAGTGCTTTGATTGAAGTTATATTATTAGTTATTGTTGATTGATTATTGGTGTTTAACGCCACAATCAGCACTATTGGCTATTGGCACTATAGGCTATAGACAACTTTTGTATTCATACACTTTCTCAATTTTCCTATGTCACAATGCTTATGTTATTACATCACAGTAAGAACCGATTGTTCGATGACGTTGTTTACACTGATTAACCTTTGGTCAACAAGTGCATCTCATTCATAAAAAACAACTCCAGATTGGTGTATTATGGCTTCCAGATCATATTGGTTGAGGGAGGAGTTCAGTGTCAGGAGACAGTCACCTACTTACAGCACAAAAAACTGACGATCCTAGTAAATTAAAAAGATAGTAGTCACACACCTTGCAACAGGCCAGGTTGGAACTGACAACCTTAGTGTTAAAAGGCTACTGATCACAGAACCAAACATAGCTGTATCTTTGTGAATAAATAGCATTATGTCTGTTTTCTCTTTATTGCAGAGAAAAGACTTCAAAATTCCACAAGGAAAAACTCTGCCATTGGGGTAAGTCTTGACATTATTGAGATGGTAAAAAGTTCTTATATAAAGGTAAAAACTCACTAGGGAATAAATGTATTTAAGAGAAACACTCAGGATTCCAACCTCACTATTTCTAGTGAGGTATTTACAGAATTAAAAGAGGGATATTTTGAAGTATTTACTTCCTAATCTTTTGCTTAGAATTATATTTTTCTTTTCATTAGAATTCTTTTTCCTTTTTTTTTTAAAGAAAAGATAAGGTAAATTACAAAAAAAATGCAAATGTTACTGGGAATTCTGTCTATTCTAAAATAAATATAATAAAATGAAACATTTAATTTGTTTATTGGTAGATAATGTTTCAGTAATTTTATAGCATAATCAATTCTTCTCAAGTGCAAAATGATCATAGAAGATCAGTTGAAGAAACCCCTTACCAATGTTGAAACCTGTAAATTTGGCATGTTTACTTTATAAGTCAAGAAAGACCAATGACCAGTCCAGATCAAACTCATTATTATAAATAAGATAAAAAATGTAATTGTTTATTATTTTAAGAGTAACGGCTGAAAGATGTAAAAAGATTTGCATCTGAATCATACAGCTTCTCCCTCTCAGTTGAACCAATCACATTTGTACAGAATTTAATTTATATACAGATATATATATCTTTGATTCTTTGGCAATTTAACCCTTTCTTGACCGATTATTTTAAAAAGTTTAATCATCATGTGGTTGCCGATGATCTAAATAGATATATGACATAGAAATTAGGAATGTGGTAGGCACTCTAAAGGGTTTTTTTGTTATCAAAAACAAATATTTAGTTAATAATCATTAGAGAAACAGATAATTACATTATACAGTTACTCAGGGATTATCAAATTTGACCATTTTTGATAACGTAACTATCTTGTTTGGATAAATCGGATAATCCACTGGTACAAATGTAAGAATATTTATATAAATAAACACAATGCATTATATTTATGCCCCTGCCGCTAGGCGAAGGGGGCATTAAGTGTTACCCTTGTACATCAATCCCAAAATTGGTTTCCTTTCTCTAACTTTGGTTTGCCTTAACCAAATGTTATTAAACTTGTTCACAATGCTTATTACCATAAAACACAGATCAAGTTTAAATTTGGGTGGCGTCACTTTAACAGTTCTTAAGTTATTTCCCCTTATAAAGTTATATGCAAAGGGGGCATCATCTGTGTCCAGTTGACACATTCTCCACTTATTTTCAAATTACTTTTCTGCACCAGAATCTTTTACGACATACAGTTGAAAAATTCTCTGTTGGTTGATTTTCAATTTTAAACAACGAAAGTTCCAACTTTTACACTTTAAATTTATAAACAGCATGGTTAATATAAGATCGATATTTTACAGAGAGAAAGTTGTTGTTTACATCACATTTATACACAGTATTGGTTGTTTTTGTGTGCAGTTAGAAGATAGTCCCATTGAGGCGATTGTAGAAGGTTTAGCCCAGATATATCAGGTAAGATAGTCCCATTGAGGAGATTGTTGAAGGTTTAGCTCAGATAGATCAGGTAAGATAGTCCCATTGAGGAGATTGTTGAAGGTTTAGCTCAGATAGATCAGGTAAGATAATCACATTGAGGAGATTGTAGAAGGTTTTGCTCAGATAGATCAGGTAAGATAGTCCCATTGAGGAGATTGTAGAAGGTTTAGCTCAGATAGATCAGGTAAGATAATCACATTGAGGAGATTGTAGAAGGTTTTGCTCAGATAGATCAGGTAAGATAGTCCCATTGAGGAGATTGTAGAAGGTTTAGCTCAGATAGATCAGGTGAGATAGTCCCATTGAGGAGATTGTTGAAGGTTTAGCCCAGATAGATCAGGTAAGATAATCACATTGAGGAGATTGTAGAAGGTTTAGCTCAGATAGATCAGGTAAGATAGTCCCATTGAGGAGATTGTTGAAGGTTTAGCCCAGATATATCAGGTAAGATAATCACATTGAGGAGATTGTTGAAGGTTTAACCCAGATAGATCAGGTAAGATAGTCCCATTGAGGAGATTGTAGAAGGTTTAGCTCAGATAGATCAGGTAAGATAGTCCCATTGAGGGGATTGTTGATGGTTTAGCTCAGATAGATCAGGTAAGATAATCACATTGAGGAGATTGTTGAAGGTTTAGCTCAGATAGATCAGGTAAGATAATCACATTGAGGAGATTGTAGAAGGTTTAGCTCAGATAGATCAGGTAAGATAATCACATTGAGGAGATTGTTGAAGGTTTAGCTCAGATAGATCAGGTAAGATAGTCCCATTGAGGAGATTGTAGAAGGTTTAGCTCAGATAGATCAGGTAAGATAGTCCCATTGAGGAGATTGTTGAAGGTTTAGCTCAGATAGATCAGGTAAGATAATCACATTGAGGGGATTGTAGAAGGTTTAGCTCAGATATATCAGGTAAGATAATCACATTGAGGAGATTGTTGAAGGTTTAGCTCAGATAGATCAGGTAAGATAGTCCCATTGAGAAGATTGTTGATGGTTTAGCTCAGATAGATCAGGTAAGATAATCACATTGAGGAGATTGTTGAAGGTTTAGCTCAGATATATCAGGTAAGATAGTCCCATTGAGGAGATTGTAGAAGGTTTAGCTCAGATAGATCAGGTAAGATAATCACATTGAGGAGATCGTAGAAGGTTTAGCCCAGATAGATCAGGTAAGATAATCACATTGAGGAGATTGTTGATGGTTTAGCTCAGATAGATCAGGTAAGATAGTCCCATTGAGGGGATTGTTGAAGGTTTAGCCCAGATATATCAGGTAAGATAGTCCCATTGAGGAGATTGTAGAAGGTTTAGCTCAGATAGATCAGGTAAGATAGTCCCATTGAGGAGATTGTTGAAGGTTTAGCTCAGATAGATCAGGTAAGATAGTCACATTGAGGAGATCGTAGAAGGTTTAGCCCAGATAGATCAGGTAAGATAATCACATTGAGGAGATTGTTGAAGGTTTAGCTCAGATAGATCAGGTAAGATAGTCCCATTGAGGAGATTGTTGAAGGTTTAGCCCAGATAGATCAGGTAAGATAGTCCCATTGAGGAGATTGTAGAAGGTTTAGCCCAGATAGATCAGGTAAGATAATCACATTGAGGAGATTGTTGGAGGATTAGCCCAGATAGATCAGGTAAGATAGTCCCATTGAGGAGATTGTAGAAGGTTTAGCTCAGATAGATCAGGTAAGATAGTCCCATTGAGGAGATTGTTGAAGGTTTAGCCCAGATAGATCAGGTAAGATAGTCCCATTGAGGGGATTGTAGAAGGTTTAGCTCAGATAGATCAGGTAAGATAGTCCCATTGAGGAGATTGTTGATGGTTTAGCTCAGATAGATCAGGTAAGATAGTCCCATTGAGGAGATTGTAGAAGGTTTAGCTCAGATAGATCAGGTAAGATAGTCCCATTGAGGAGATTGTTGAAGGTTTAGCTCAGATAGATCAGGTAAGATAGTCACATTGAGGAGATCGTAGAAGGTTTAGCCCAGATAGATCAGGTAAGATAATCACATTGAGGAGATTGTTGAAGGTTTAGCTCAGATAGATCAGGTAAGATAGTCCCATTGAGGAGATTGTTGAAGGTTTAGCCCAGATAGATCAGGTAAGATAGTCCCATTGAGGAGATTGTAGAAGGTTTAGCCCAGATAGATCAGGTAAGATAATCACATTGAGGAGATTGTTGGAGGATTAGCCCAGATAGATCAGGTAAGATAGTCCCATTGAGGAGATTGTAGAAGGTTTAGCTCAGATAGATCAGGTAAGATAGTCCCATTGAGGAGATTGTTGAAGGTTTAGCCCAGATAGATCAGGTAAGATAGTCCCATTGAGGGGATTGTAGAAGGTTTAGCTCAGATAGATCAGGTAAGATAGTCCCATTGAGGAGATTGTTGATGGTTTAGCTCAGATAGATCAGGTAAGATAGTCCCATTGAGGAGATTGTAGAAGGTTTAGCTCAGATAGATCAGGTAAGATAGTCACATTGAGGAGATTGTTGAAGGTTTAGTTCAGATAGATCAGGTAAGATAGTCCCATTGAGGAGATTGTTGGAGGATTAGCCCAGATAGATCAGGTAAGATAGTCCCATTGAGGAGATTGTTGAAGGTTTAGCCCAGATAGATCAGGTAAGATAGTCACATTGAGGAGATTGTTGAAGGTTTAGTTCAGATAGATCAGGTAAGATAGTCCCATTGAGGAGATTGTAGAAGGTTTAGCTCAGATATATCAGGTAAGATAGTCCCATTGAGGAGATTGTTGAAAGTTTAGCCCAGATAGATCAGGTAAGATAGTCCCATTGAGGAGATTGTAGAAGGTTTAGCCCAGATAGATCAGGTAAGATAATCACATTGAGGAGATTGTAGAAGGTTTAGCTCAGATATATCAGGTAAGATAGTCCCATTGAGGAGATTGTTGAAAGTTTAGCCCAGATAGATCAGGTAAGATAGTCCCATTGAGGAGATTGTAGAAGGTTTAGCCCAGATAGATCAGGTAAGATAATCACATTGAGGAGATTGTAGAAGGTTTAGCTCAGATAGATCAGGTAAGATAGTCCCATTGAGGAGATTGTAGAAGGTTTAGCTCAGATAGATCAGGTAAGATAGTCCCATTGAGGAGATTGTTGATGGTTTAGCCCAGATATATCAGGTAAGATAGTCCCATTGAGGAGATTGTAGAAGGTTTAGCTCAGATAGATCAGGTAAGATAGTCCCATTGAGGAGATTGTTGATGGTTTAGCTCAGATAGATCAGGTAAGATAGTCCCATTGAGGGGATTGTTGAAGGTTTAGCTCAGATAGATCAGGTAATTATGACATTACTATTGTGTACTGGTGTTAAGGATAGTTGCTGAATTTAGACTGAGTTGAATTTTCTTGAGTTTGTTAGGGACTATCATGTCTCCTTAAACAGGAAAACAATATAGAGATACTTTCATTGAAAAAATGATAGTATCTTTTAATAACTGTTGAAATAAGATAACTGTGAAGTATCAAAAGGGAGATAATTGATGATTTTTTGGCCATATACAAATTAGAATTATCTCCCATTGTATAATTTGATGGTTGCAGAAATGAGCTTTCAAAAAAATATAAATTTTATTGCAGGTGCATATCTGTTATATGATAAACATGAGGGTACCCAAATTGCACCAATTTTGACAATTTTTTCACCTATGTTTATGTTCCAGACAAAAGTTTCCTTTCTGTGTTTATTTTGTAGATGTATCCTTATTTTCTATATAGTTCTATCAATTTAGTTTTGAGTCCATATTGAATCATAGAAAAATCGGTTTGAACTGACCTACAAACGATCCATGATTCTGTAATGAGGAGTACCCAAATTGCATCCATGCTTAAATTCACATCCTTAAAAATCAAATGACAGATGTTTTGTTTTATTTCTTCAAATATTTAGAACAATTTGACATTAGTCCATGCTTACTATTAATTTTTTGAGAAATGGATGCTTATAACATACTTTATTTGCTCATTTTTAAAAGATGACCTTTTTGTGGACATTGCATAGCGGCGTTTTCATAGATTTTACTTTTTCAAGTGTATACTTCATCTGTTGATATATACTGTGATCGTTTTGTGTATATTTAAATATAATAACTTATGTTGAAAGAATTGTATAATGTCAAATCATAAAAATGCAAACTGTTTAGTTTCAAAGAAAACTTGTAAGATTTCCGCTGCTGTTTTTGCTGAATAGGTGCAATTTTGGTACTCAGTGCAATTTGGATACTGTGACATTATATTGCTTCATCTGTGTGATGTTTTTTTGTGGAAATTTGTTATTTGTTTGCTGTTTCATTGGTTTTGACACACAATTTCTTTCTACTCATATTACGTTCCTAGTAGGATACTGCTTTTGTAGAAGAAAGACTAAATTATGACATTTGTATAAACATGTGATTACTTTACCCCCTTTGACATAGTGGATGGTACTTAATACTCAACTTTAGTATAAAGAAATGACTTGATATTTGATTTGGAATTTTATAATGTTGAATTGTAACCGTTTTTCAGATCTGCTAAGTAGTCATCTTGTTTGACAATACGTTACTTTGAATTTTTATCATACTCAATGAGCATGGTCAATGTTTTAAAACAATATATATATATACTTTGTGTACATTGCAAGCAACTTCATACTTTTTTGGTGTTGACTATACATAATATATATATATATATATATTTAAAGTAAGAAAAATAGATGTGCTTATACAAACATTAATGGTGTATACTTTTAAAGAGAGTTTTTGAATTAAAATAATTTGATATATACATTTTAGTTTCTAAAGAGAGATATTGAATTAAGTAATTTGTAATGTGTATTTACATTTTAGGAACCAGTCCCTTTGGAAAGTGATTTAACTAAAGGAAAATTTGTGGCAGCTATGTATAGTTCAGATGACAGTTGGAGTAGAGCTGAAATCCTGTCTGAATCTCCTGAAAATGTTAGTATAGTTTCCCTAAACAACATGAAGCATATTTAAATACTTTGCATTAAGCTGGACCTTTTTCTTTCTGAGGAATGATTCTTACTTATTCTCTTTGAAGTTTGGGAACAGTTTTAGAAATTTATTGCATCTGAATTATGACCACTTTGATAAATTCTGCTTGACAGTTGTTTTATTTTTAACTGGCTTGACCAAAAGGGTCAAGTGTGTCATTCTCATCATTTGGCATCCATCCTTCTAGTCATCTGTTTACTTTGACAAAAATCTTCTTCTCTGAAACTGCTGGACCAATTGGAATCAAACTTTGTCACCATTGGGATTGGGGTATCTAGTTTAAAAATTTTGTCTGATGATCCAGCTTGCTTATCTAAATGGCTGACATGGCTAAAAATTGGTCTTCATGCAGGGAGAAAATCCAGCACCTGGAGGAGGGCTTCAGCTCGCCCATAAATAATCATGTATACTAGTTCAACAAAATCGATGCCACACTTAACTCCTAGGCATATAAATCCACGAAAAGGAAAAAACACACAAGACTAACAAAGGCTAAAGGTTCCTGACTTGGGACAGATGCAAAAATGGGGTGGGGTTAAGCATGTTTTGTGAGATCTCAACCCTCCCCCTATACCTCTAGCCAATGTCACATTAATCTGAATATACACAGTTAGTATTCATGTTAAAGTTTTATATTTACAGTCTGTGATAACAGTTTTATATGTTGATTTTGGTAATGATGAGAAGTGTAAGTCCTGTAACACACGATGGCTGTCAGAGAAATTATCAACATACCCTGTCCAAGCTATTTACTGCTCATTGTATGGTATACAGCCACTTCAGGTATCAACATGATTTTATGAAATATATTTATGCTAGAACTGTGACTTTTGTGCAGTCTAGATTTTTTTACTGCAAAAAAAAATTTCCATTTTAAATTGTAAGCTTTTATTTTTATATGCTCTTGCCAGTATGCTAACATAGAGAAGTTTTTTTTACTCCCCCTTCCCCTTTCCAGATAAAAGAAAGTGATTCTCTTTAAATGCAACCTGAAAGTTTTTTATGTATAGTCTCTGATTGTATGAAACTTTTACCATGAATTTAACAATAGGTTTGTGTATAATTTTATTTTGACAGTACCAAGAAGTTGAAGATAGTGGAGTTTTTGAAGTTTCCAATTTCATGTTCAAAATATTTTCTCTGAATAGTTATATCACATTGTAATAGAAACAGTTATAAGTTTTGTTTGATATGAATATTTTTTTTGTATCAGTATGAGTTTCATTATGAGAAAATAATGTAATAAATGTATAAACAACAATTATTTTTAAGGGAGAAGATGATTGGTCAAAAGATGCCTGGACGAAGTTTGGAGATATCGTTAAGGAAGAAGCTCTGGTGGCGATTACCCAAAGTTATACAGGTACAAAAAAAGACTTGCCTATATTATCATGATTACGAAAAATTACTGTTTAAATTCCATTTTATAAGGATGTATGCTTTACACAGTGTCTTTAATATTTTATACCGTGGATTCATTTACTGTTAACTATCGATGTCTCAAATTTTCAGATGTCGAAATTTTTCCCTGGTCCTGAACTTTGTTCAATACAAATATATGTATTTCAACTCCTGATGAGTCGAAATTTCGGTTGTGTTAAATTAGATTTACAGTCCCAAGGTTAGCAAAAGCATTTTTAATTGCCTTTACTGTATCAAACCAATACACACATGTCAAAACATGACCTCAGGGATTTAAATAGATTGACGAGTTTAACCGTTTCACAGTAATTAAATTTCCGGTAATTGACCACTGTATTGATTTATGACATTCTTTTCCCACGGAGTGTTTACTATAAAAAATTTTTGATCACCATTATGAATCATAATATCGATATGTAGTTATTGACTATGTAAAATAATTTTAAATGTTTTATAATCAATTAACTGAGATCATACATTAATGAGCTTGGATGTGCATAAAGTGAGGATTAAGTGAGCAGCTAAAAGCTACTCAATCAACGTGTTTAACCTTGTGTATTCACTTGCCAAAAAAAATCAAAATAAAAGAAAATCAAAAGAAATCAAAAATTTCTAAAATCTGAAAAATTACTTACTTATGTTAAAAAAAGGTTTTGTTTGTTTCTTTCATCTTGCCCTTGAAACAATGTAAAAAATAATTATCTCGCCGAAAACAACAGGAAAAATTATAACTGAACGAAGAAATAACAGAGACAAAAAAACATAATTTCTTTGTAATAATTATAGACAATTACACACAGATACTTAGATTTCAGACTAGAATATCGATCACCGACCCATATATATCTGAATTATTTTAGCCTTACCAAGCCAAGCTATGCAAGGGTTGTGTCCCTTGGTCTGTCAAACTTCCGGTATTTGAGATAATGAGAATCGAATGTATTATTGTGGGTACCAATTTTCATGGATATTTGATTTCATGGTTTTGTCAAAGTCTGCATACAAGTCTATTGAAAATTTGTACTTTGTTGGAACATTTAAATTCCTGGTTCACCTGTACCCACAAAATCCATTTAAATTGGTATCCCATGAATAATAATTAATCCACAGTATCTCCTCTGGATTTTCCTTAGACTATTCATTATAAACAGTTTGTTCAGTACAAATGTCCCCTTAAGGAACGACTGTAATATTTTTTCTGTCTATGAAGAAATAACATTAAAAATGTGGTGCACACTGAATAACCTGCGTAGCGTGTTATTTAAAAGTGTGCACCACATTTTTGAGGTTATTTAGAATAGACAGAAAAAATATTAGTTATTCCTTATAATTTAATTCTTAATTCCATTTTTGTCGAGCCTTCGACTTTAGTCGAAAAAGCGAGACATAGCGATCCTACATTCCGTCGGCGGCGTCCACAAATATTCACTCTGTGGTTAAAGTTTTTGAAATTTTAATAACTTTCTTAAACTATCCTTGATTTCTACCAAACTTGGACAGAAGCTTGTTTATGATCATAAGATAGTATCCAGAAGTAAATTTTGTAAAAATAAAATTCCATTTTTTCCGTATTTTACTTATAAATGGACTTAGTTTTTCTGCCGGGAAACATTACATTCACTCTGTGGTTAAAGTTTTTAAAATTTTAATAATTATCTCAAACTATCCTGGATTTGTACCAAACTTGGACAGAAGCTTGTTTATAATCATAAGATAGTATCCAGAAGTAAATTTTGTAAAAAATGACTTCTTTTAGAGAACCACTGAATGTAATGAAACCAAACATGGCATGAATGTTCCTTATGAGGTGCTGACCAAGTGTTGTTACTTTGTAGCCGATCCATCATCCAAGATGGCCGCCAGCGGGGGACTTAGTTTAACATAGGACCCTATGGGAAATGCATACAAATGACTTCTTTTAGAGAACCACTGAATGGAATGAAACCAAACATGGCATGAATGTTCCTTATGAGGTGCTGACCAAGTGTTGTTACTTTGTAGCCGATCCATCATCCAAGATGGCCGCCAGCGGGGGACTTAGTTTAACATAGGACCCTATGGGAAATACATACAAATGTCTTCTTTTAGAGAACCACTGGATGGAATGAAACCAAACATGGCATGAATGTTCCTTATGAGGTGCTGACCAAGTGTTGTTACTTTGTAGCCGATCCATCATCCAAGATGGCCGCCAGCGGGGGACTTAGTTTAACATAGGACCCTATGGGAAATGCATACGAATGACTTCTTTTAGAGAACCACTGAATGGAATAAAACCAAACATGGCATGAATGTTCCTTATGAGGTGCTGACCATGTGTTGTTACTTTGTAGCCGATCCATCATCCAAGATGGCCGCCATCGAGGAACTTAGTTTAACATAGGACCCTATGGGAAATACATACAAATGTCTTCTTTTAGAGAACCACTGGATGGAATGAAACCAAACATGGCATGAATGTTCCTTATGAGGTGCTGACCAAGTGTTGTTTCTTTGTAGCCGATCCATCATCCAAGATGGCCGCCAGCGGAGGACTTAGTTTAACATAGGACCCTATGGGAAATACATAAAATTGTCTTCTTTTAGAGAACCACTGAATGGAATAAAACCAAACATGGCATGAATGTTCCTTATGAGATGCTGACCAAGTGTTGTTACTTTGCAGTCGGTCCATCATCCAAGATGGCCGCCAGCGGGGGACTTAGTTTAACATAGGACCCTATGAGAAAAACATACAAATGTCTTCTTTTAGAGAACCACTGAATGGAATGAAACCAAACATGGCATGAATATTCCTTATGAGGTGCTCACCAAGTGTTGTTACTTTGTAGCCGATCCATCATCCAAGATGGCCGCCAGCGGGGGACTTAGTTTAACATAGGACCCTTTGGGAAATGCATACAAATGACTTCTTTTAGAGAACCACTGAATGGAATGAAACCAAACATGGCATGAATGTTCCTTATGAGGTGCTGACCAAGTGTTGTTACTTTGTAGCCGATCCATCATCCAAGATGGCCGCCAGCGGGGGACTTAGTTTAACATAGGACCCTATGGGAAATGCATACGAATGACTTCTTTTAGAGAACCACTGAATGGAATAAAACCAAACATGGCATGAATGTTCCTTATGAGGTGCTGACCATGTGTTGTTACTTTGTAGCCGATCCATCATCCAAGATGGCCGCCATCGGGGAACTTAGTTTAACATAGGACCCTATGGGAAATACATACAAATGTCTTCTTTTAGAGAACCACTGAATGGAATAAAACCAAACTTGGCATGAATGTTCCTTATGAGGTGCTGACCAAGTGTTGTTACTTTGTAGCCGATCCATCATCCAAGATGGCCGCCAGCGGGGGACTTAGTTTAACATAGGACCCTATGGGAAATGCATACAAATGACTTCTTTTAGAGAACCACTGAATGGAATGAAACCAAACATGGCATGAATGTTCCTTATGAGGTGCTGACCAAGTGTTGTTACTTTGTAGCCGATCCATCATCCAAGATGGCCGCCAGCGGGGGACTTAGTTTAACATAGGACCCTATGGGAAATGCATACTAATGACTTCTTTTAGAGAACCACTGAATGGAATAAAACCAAACATGGCATGAATGTTCCTTATGAGGTGCTGACCAAGTGTTGTTACTTTGTAGCCGATCCATCATCCAAGATGGCCGCCAGCGGAGGACTTAGTTTAACATAGGACCCTATGGGAAATACATAAAATTGTCTTCTTTTAGAGAACCACTGAATGGAATAAAACCAAACATGGCATGAATGTTCCTTATGAGATGCTGACCAAGTGTTGTTACTTTGCAGTCGGTCCATCATCCAAGATGGCCGCCAGCGGGGGACTTAGTTTAACATAGGACCCTATGAGAAAAACATACAAATGTCTTCTTTTAGAGAACCACTGAATGGAATGAAACCAAACATGGCATGAATGTTCCTTATGAGGTGCTCACCAAGTGTTGTTACTTTGTAGCCGATCCATCATCCAAGATGGCCGCCAGCGGGGGACTTAGTTTAACATAGGACCCTATGGGAAATGCATACAAATGACTTCTTTTAGAGAACCAATGAATGGAATAAAACCAAACATGGCATGAAGTTCCTTATGAGGTGCTGACCATGTGTTGGTACTTTGTAGCCGATCCATCATCCAAGATGGCCGCCATCGGGGAACTTAGTTTAACATAAGACCCTATGGGAAATACATACAAATGTCTTCTTTTAGAGAACCACTGAATGGAATGAAACCAAACATGGCATGAATGTTCCTTATGAGGTGCTGACCAAGTGTTGTTTCTTTGTAGCCGATCCATCATCCAAGATGGCCGCCAGCGGGGGACTTAGTTTAACATAGGACCCTATGGGAAATACATAAAATTGTCTTCTTTTAGAGAACCACTGAATGGAATGAAACCAAACATGGCATGAATGTTCCTTATGAGGTGCTGACCAAGTGTTGTTACTTTGCAGGCGGTCCATCATCCAAGATGGCCGACAGCAGGGGACTTAGTTTAACAAAGGACCTATGGGAAATACATACAAATGTCTTCTTTTAGAGAACCACTGAATGGAATGAAACCAAACATGGCATGAATCTTCCTTATGAGATGCTGACCAAGTGTTGTTACTTTGTAGCCGATCCATCATCCAAGATGGCCGCCAGGGGGGACTTAGTTTTACATAGGACCCTTTGGGAAATACATAAAAATGTCTTCTTTTAGAGAACCAATAAATGGAATGGAACCAAACATGGCATGAATGTTTCTTATGAGATGTTGACCAAGTGTTGTTACTTTGCAGCCGATCCATCATCCAAGATGGCCGACAGCGGGGGACTTAGTTTAACATAGGACCCTATGGGAAATACATACAATTGTCTTCTTTTAGAGAACCACTGAATGGAATTGAACCAAACATGGCATGAATGTTCCTTATGAGTTGCTGACCAAGTGTTGTTACTTTGCAGTCGATCCATCATCCAAGATGGCCGCTAGGGGGGGGGGGCTTAGTTTAACATAGGACCCTATGGGAAATACATACAAATGTCTTCTTTTAGAGTACCACTGAATGGAATGAAACCAAACATGGCATGAATGTTCCTTATGAAGTGCTGACCAAGTGTTGCTACTTTGTTGCCGATTTACTGTTCAAGATGGCCACCAGGATATTTTATTAAATAACGGGACCAATATTAATCAAAATTTGGCCTCAATCATTATTTGGGTATCTGTTATGATTTTTATCTATCTTTACATGATTTCTAAAACCAAAGTAGAGTCAGGTGAGCGACACAGGCTCTTGAGAGCCTCTAGTTCTGTATTTTACTTATAAATGGACTTAGTTTTTCTGCCAGGAAACAATACATTCACTCTGCGGTTAAAGTTTTTAAAATTTTAATAACTTTCTTATACTATTTTGGATTTGTACCAAACTTGGACAGAAGCTTGTTTATGATCAAAAGCTAGTATCTAGAAGGAAATTTTGTAAAAAAATAAATCCATTTTTTCCGTATTTTACTTTTAAATGGACTTAGATTTTCTGCCAGGAAACAGTATATTCACTCTGTGGTTAAAGTTTTTAAAATTTTAATAACTTTCTTATACTATTTTGGATTTGTACCAAACTTGGACAGAAGCTTGTTTATGATCAAATGCTAGTATCTAGAAGAAAATTTTGTTCTCTTCCAGTTAACATTACATTCAGTCTTCAGTTAAAGTTTTTAAACATTTATTAGATTCATAAACTATCCTGGATTTTTACCAAACTTGGACAGAAGCTTCTTACAATCAAAAGATAGTATCAAGAGGAATATTTTTATTGATTTACTTCTTCATTTTTGTTGAGCCTGCGATTAACAGAAAAAGTAGGCGAGACAATGGGTTCCGCGGAACCCTTACGAATTTTTAACGAGTAAATCCTGAAAAAACGTTGATGACGTCACGGTCACATGAAAAAATTATGATTATGAGCTGATAGACAAAAAACTTTCAGCCAATCAGAAGAAGTGTTACATCCAAAATTAAATTATTTAGAAACTAAACAAACAGACTTACTTTATTTTCCCAAGATATTATCTTCTATACATTATTGTTCATTCCAAAAATTTTGCAAAGTTTTTATTTTTGCGAAAAATTGTGACACAAAAATAAAAACTTACATTTTAAAAGCATTATTTCTATAAAAATAATCAACATCCTTCCTTTTATTGATCTGATAAAAAGAATAATATTATTCTTCGATACATTACAAGGCATGGTTCATGACATTCAGAAGTCAAGAAAATTTAATACAATAGTTAATTTTCACTTAAGAAGTAGAAACATGAAATACATTGTTTATATAAATATATATTTTCTGGTAGGTTAGAACCCACCCCTACTGAAAAATGGTCATTTTCAGTCTATTTTTTTATTTTAATACGACCTTGAGAGGTGAACATTGACTAAACGGTGTTTCTTTGTCATTCAAGTAGTACCTTACAGTTACAGCAGTCTATTCATACTGACTGGAAGTAAATGTGACTTGAGAATCTTGCTGGGGAATTATTATTGGCTAGCCAAGTATGCCTAAATGTCCGTTTTTACCGATTTCAGACAAAACGGTGACCTAGATTTTACAGACCACATTTCTTTTGGCCATATTATACCTCCTTGTGTTCCTGTACCATCTATGCATGTATTTATGATAATAGTTGATACCTACAGCCCATACCAGTAAAGTAGTGGCCATAAAAAGACTCCCACCCCCACCTGATTTTGGCTACTTTACACGTTTTTCCGATTTTGAACTCTAAAAAGGTCATTAAAGTTGCCATATTTTCATAATCACACATCTGAGAAGAGTTTATGGACCATGAATTGCATGGTTGAAGTCCCTGCTGTAAAGACAGTTGAGCTGGGGCAGTTCTAAAAAAGTATGGAGGTCATACAGGCCATCAAAGAATGGTAGTCGCCATCACGACTACAGGCGGGATTGGGGGCGAAGGGGTTAAATCAAATAAGTTTTCACACGTTTTTTTTGTATATTTTAAGATGATGGGATCTGTGAAGTAGACCTTTACTTAAAGAATGACAGTGAAATCTCTATTAACCAAAAGCTGATAGAACTCGGTCTGGTACGAGCTCTTGAAGAAATCGTGATAGAAGACAGCATATCAGAGGCAGAGTCTGACTTAGAACCAGGTATCTACTAACACAACAACTCCCAGAAATATTAGTGAATGCCGTCTTGCCTTTGGTGCTTGGACAGATCCTAAAAATGGGAAACTTATCAATATAATTGTAAAGCCTGATATGTTTAAAATTGGAAACCATTATTGGAGCTTTTTTTCTTATAACAGTAAAAATTGATGAAAAATAATGTTCAAGCTTCTGTGGTTATTTTCTCAAAAGTTACAGGATGTGAATGTTTGTGAGATGTAAGTTTAAGCAATGTTAACAATTTAAGTTACTTTGTAATTATTTTAACATTTAGCCACTTGCATTAAGTATTTTATCTAATTTTGATAACACAGGATTTGTATGAATTATGTTAGATATTTGTAATTATTAGTTAATAATTATATTTCATTTTAGAGCCACTAAAATTACCAGAAGAGAATGAATGGGATGTCTACATTTCTTTTATAAACCAATCCTCTAAATCTGTGGTGCTCCGACTTGTAGGAGAAAATTATTCTGTACGTATACATTTTCTTTATAAACAAATTCTCTTAACTCTGTTGTGCTCTGACTTGTGGGAGAAAATTATTCTGTATACAAACATTTCCTTTATTAACCAACTCTCAAACTGTTGTGTTCCGTAGTACTGTGACTTGTTAAAAATGCTATTCAGTATTTATTCTTAGTCAGGACAATTAACTTTCCAAGAAAAATGCACTCTAAACAATCCTCTATTGAAATTAAAGATCATTGAGTCTTTGTCCCATTTACACATTGTATAATAAAAAGTGTTCCCACTCATAGTTTTGTTTAAATTTTATTCAATATTTGATTTATAATTTATAGGAGAAACTTGATGAGTTTGACAATGAATTAGAAAAAAGTTACCAATCTTGTATGGCAGTGTGTTCTGTGGAGGAAGATGGTTTATACATAGCGCTGATAGATGAGTTATACCACAGAGTCAGAGTATTATCCATCCTGGACGACACTACGGTAGGTATTTTTTGTTATCTTTAGGTGTCTTACACATAGTGCAGTATCACTTGCATATCATGATCACATAACTTGTTATGTCGATGCCTTTTCTAGCTTGCTCTACTGTATGGGTTTTACTCATTGTTAAAGATTGTACACAGACTTATAGTTGCTAACATCTACATCCTTTGGTATCTGGTCGATAGTTTTCTCATTGGTAATCATACCATATCTCTTAATTGTCCCCTGCGCAATGCGTTGCGGGGGAAATATAAATACTGGGCGTCAGTCCGTCTGTCTGTTTGTCTGTTTGGTCTTGTTAGCGCTCTCACATGTACAATACCTGCCAGATTTTTATGAAACTTAAATCATAGGTTTATATCAGCAATGTCTTGGAGAAGTTTGAAAATCAGTGCTGATCAATTATTATACAACCGCAAAAAAATTTTTGGATCGTATAAAGGTATGATGTCATTGTCTGCGTCGTCGTCCGAAGACACATTGGTTTCCGGACAATAACTTTAGTTTAAGTGAATGGATCTCTATGAATTTTTTTAAGAAGGTTCAATACCACAAAAGGAAGGTTGGGATTGATTTTGGGGATAATGGTCCCAATGGTTTAGGAATTAGGGGCCCAAAAGGGCCCAAAACAAGCATTTTTCTAGTTTCAGGATAATAACTTGTATATAATTATTTCCGTTGCTCTGAAATTGTACCACAATGTTTAATACCACAAGTAGAATGTTGGGATTCATTTTAGGGGTTATGGGGCCAACAGTTTAGGAATTAAGGGCATACGATACAGTAGCAGGGGCAGATAATAACGTTTTCAAAACTTTTCGTGTTGTTTTCGCGACGTTGTTAATCAGAATGTTGTAATTTCGCGATGTTTCTAATAAGAACGATTACATTACGCGACGTCGCTTTAGATGTAGTCACATTTGAGGAAATCCACTGACGTCATAATCCGGATTGCGCGAATTTGAAAAAAGTACCTGCAATGAAAATGGGCCAAATCACGAGAATCATAATATGTATTCATTAATAAGAAAGTCAACAATATTATCTTCGAATGGGAAAAAAATAAAATCCACATTCTTAATTTTGTATGTCTGTTATTTCATATAGGAAATGAATAAGAGATATGAAAAACATAAGACGCCGATGAGAGAGAAACCCAACTACACAAAAAAAAACATAAGTAATTTATATAGTAACTTCACCATTTGGCTAACTCAAAATCGTAATGAGAATTGTACGGATAAATTTAACAGAAACTATCAACTAAATGACAAATAAACGTAATAAATAATGAGAGCGCATCTTACTGTTCCTGACTTTGAAAAGGTACATTAAAGAGTTTAACGGCATTTTTAGAATTTAACCCGTGGAATATATAAGTGTATGCAGAAGAATTGTCAGTTAAAATGACTCAGTTTTAAGCCCCGTATTATAGACCAAAAACAAAAACGCACCCGTTGATGTGCTAAGCATATCTTCTATGTACATATTGAGAGAGAAAAATCGGCACACAGGAATTAGGTATTTGACAGGCTAGAGTTGCAACTCACTGATGTTAAGTTACTGACCAAATACGAAGTCTTTTTGTAAAGTAGTTTCTCAGATAAGAAACAAAATATTTGTTAGACCGGACAAACAATGTGGTTGCACTCACTCCTAGATTGAAGGTATAATACAGACAAGTAATTCAATGATTATATGTACCGTAATAAAAAAAATACCCTGAAGACAAGCTTAGGTAACTAATCAATTGATACAAAATCATTAAATTTCATGCTCTGATATCGACTGCTGTATGAAATGTTATACTACACTGTAATGGAATAAGCTGACCCGATTTAATGTGGGTATGATTTTGTGTTCATGTAATGCCTATAGAGTAGGTCGTCAGTTTTCTTGTTTGAATTATTTCACATTTTCATGCCGGGGCTTTTTAAAGCTGACTATACGGTATGGTTTTTCCTTTTTTATTTTTTTTTTGTGTTGAAGGCCGTAGGGTGACCTTTAGTAGCGTTTATCTTCGTCATTTGAACTATGGTTGATAGTTGTCTCTTTTGTAATCATACCAAATGTCCTTATTTTTATATCATCCCCTTACTTTATAATTGTTGCACATTTTGTCATGTCGGGATCCTTTTGAATAATTAAAACTATGTTCAAGCTGTGTTGTCTACATGAATTATATGACTAATATCTGACAGAGATGCAAATTAATTTTTTTATTATATATATCTGTTTTGTTTCCGAACATTTCTTTTCTAAAAGTAATTTACTAGAATACTTTTCTATCCAAGTTTGAATTCGTAACAATTCATAAAGGTTTGGCAAATATGATGCTATTTTACGAGGAGCCAGCTTTATTAATTTTCATGATATATATCATTGGTTTAAAAAAAAAAAACACCTTGGCTCTACCACTGAAATTGACAATATAGTAGTGAACAGCAGGAAAGATTTCACGATGTTGTTGCGAATAAAACTTATTCCAATTTAGTTTGGCGCCTTATTGGCAAACGTACCGTTTGCCAATAAAAATTAAGGTTTATTGCTTTTATTGAAAAAACAAGCACATGGACCCCCAGTTTTTTCTTTTGCAATCGATCAGATTCTGTTTCAAGAACGCTCCGCCAAAATTTTAAGAAAAAATCAACAATAGAATTTATTCTGCACTTCTGTGTACAATGGTGTAGAAGCAAAAATATTTTCAACTTCTTTATTTCACTTGTATTAAAAGAATTTAGGATATAATTATTTATTTCAACCGTTAACTTGTTACAGCGTACTGATGCCATGGATCAAGGGAACATTTTACAAAAAACACGGTTAAATTATGACTGTTCGTTCAAAAGTATTGGTACTTTCCTTAAAAGTCCTTATTTATGAAATTTCAGGGTTTTTCCTTCAAATATGCAAATTTCGGACCAAATTATCTCAAAAGTAAGTCATGAAGGTATATTTTTCTTTGCATATTTCAAAAGTACACATCGAAATTGACCTTCTACCAAAATTTCAAGAAAAAATCAACGAGGGATCTCTACTGTATCGTATGCCCTTAAGGGCCAAAAAGGGGCCAAAAACAAGCATTTTTCTAGTTTCCAGACAATAACTTGAGTGTAAGTATATGGATCTCTCTGACATTGTACCACAAGATTCCATATAACAAAGGGAAGGCTGTGATTGAGTTTGGGGTTAATTGCCCCAAACATGTAGGAATTAGGGGCCAAAAAAAGGGCCAAAAACAAGCATTTTTCTAGTTTCCAGACAATAACTTGTGTGTAAGTGTATAGATCTCTCTGAAATTGTACTACAATGTTCCATACTACAAAGGAAAGGCTGGGATTGAGTTTTGGGGTTATTGCTCCAAGGTTTTTTTTAAAAAGTTGGGTGGGGGGGGGGGGGGAAGGGATTTTTTTTTCCAATTTTTTTAAGGGATTCATATTTTTTTTTCAAAATTTTGAATTTTTGAAAAGTTTCAAGAAGAAATCTTCAATTGCACAGTATTGCGCAATAGATTTGTAAGATCTATGACCACATTTATTTTGTGTCAGAAACCTATATTATGTAAAAAATTTGATCACAATCCAAATTCAGAAAGTATTAAGCTTGAATATTGTGTCCAAATTTGCCCAAACTGTTCAGCGAAGCATTTTATTTTTAAAAGAGTTATACCCCTTGGAACATGTGGAAACATTAATTGTATGGAAAATTGCATCGTTAGCGCTCTCATTTGTAAAATTCTTTCCATAGTTTTATGAAACTTATATCATAGGTTATTATATCAGCAATGTCTTTGACAAGTTTGAAAATCAGTGTTGATAAATTATTTTTAAAAGAGTTATGCCCCCTGGAAACATTAATTACAATTACATGGAAAATTGCATTGTTAGCACTCTAGATCTCATGTGAACAATTCTTGCCAGAATTTTATGAAACTTATGTTATAGGTTTATATTTAATAGCAATGTCTTTCAAGAGTTCAAAAATCAGTGCCAATCAATTATTTTTAAAAGAGTTATGTCCCTTGGAAATATTGATTATATGCAAAATTGCATTGTTAGCGCTCTTGTGTGAACAATTCTTGCCAGAATTTTACAAAACTTATATCATAGATTTATATCAGCAATGTCTTTGACACTATATAAAATAAGAGCTGATCAAATATTTTTAACGAGTTATGCCCCTTTGAAATATTACTTATATCGGAAATTGCATTGTATTTGCTATGAAGCCTTCATTTCTCTAAGATACTTATAAAAAGTTTTAAAGAAAAAAAGTTATTGTTAGTTATTTCACTTGTACCTTAGATAGATAAAATATGTGCAACCCAAGGGACATTGGAACTCTGGTTTTTTTTTTTTTTTTTATATTGAACTAGATTATCTTCCTGTGGTGATTACATTTGGTTATGTTAGTATGCATGTTTTTGTATGGAAACTACGATTGTTTACAATTAAATATATTGATCATGTAAACAGATATTGTGTGATTGTCCTAACATGTAAACATGATTTCTTTTGTATATAGATTGAGTGTTATTTCCTAGACCATGGTGACACAGAAAGGGTTAACAAAGATCAATTGAAATCTCTAGATCCCACAGTCAACAAACTTCTTCCATACCAGGTAAGGTCAACAAAAAAGTCATTTGCTCATTGTTGAAGGCCATATCATTATATTGACCCATAGTTGCTTACATCTACATCATTCAGACTTTGATGGATAGTTGTTTTATTGGCAATCACATCACATCTACATATTTGTATGTTAGATTTAAAATATCTACTTAATTATAGCTAAATTAGTTGTAAAGTCAAAGATCAATGATTAAGATTGATAAACAATCATCCTAGACCAGGGTGGCTCAAATATTGAACTTTACCATCATCCTGGCTCAGTGCAGGCACTTGTTGATCTCTTGATGGTATTTGGTTTTTTAACTGTCATTGACATATGCTATTGTATTATCTTTTTATTGTAGGCAATAGAAGTCTCCTTGTATGGTTTAGAGGAAATAGCAACCAACCCAACAACTGTAGACAAATTACTAGATCTAGCTCTTGCTAAAACTTGTGTGGCCGAGATTATCTCAAGGTATTTGTGGTTTTTAGAAAATGACGCAGTCAATTTTCTTTTACCATTGACCAGACTTCCAATCCGCATTCCGAACTCGTCTTGTTGTTGTCGGACAATTTTCAATCATCTTGTTGGAAATACAACTGGAACAGACTTAAATTTGTAATTTTCATTCTTTAATTTCTTAACCTGTCATACCTGCCAACTTGCACGATTCAGGCGTGAAATGCTCGATTTTGACCCCTTGTCACGATTGCACGATTTTGTTAAATTCTACTGTTCCCAATTTCGAACTTTCTCAAACTTTTCCCAAGGGAGACAACTGTGATCAGCCAATCAAAATCGTTGTTTCTCCTGATCTTTGGGTATTGTAAACTGCAAATGTGCTAAATTTTGAACTTGTCAGGAACTCAGAATATTGTAGAAATCGTGATCATGGCAGACCAATTTTCAATTACAAGAAGGTTCTTACACAGCTTAAGAAGTAAATCATGACTGGTTGACAAAGTTCAAAGATGCAGTTCAACCATAAACATAATAAACAGTAGCTAATGGACAAATTTTACACTTATGGTAACAGATCATACATGTTGTCATTCTTGAAATTAAATTACCAAATCCATTAAAGTACAATGTTCTATCTTTTAATTTTCACAAGGAATCAGATATATTTCCTTCTTTGTGCATATTTTTATATTTGAAAAGTCAACAATCACTTTAATATTCCTGTGACCAATAATCTGATAATCCACCTTTAAGGTTCATCTAATATACACCAACAAAAATGGCTGTGTTTACACCATGAAATTTTCTCTGAATGCAGACAAAACTGTGTAATTCTAATAGTTTTAAATCCTGGCAGCACCTGGCCACAACTCTTCTTTTTCCTGTGGTACATGAAAACAATAAACCGGTTTGGTACATTGTTGAGGTCTGAAAGTGACTTATAACTGCCAACAGCCACATTATTTGGACTCTGGTAGATAGTACCTCAGACTGTTATCTCATTGGCAATCACACCCCATCTCCTTATTTTATTACGGGTCAATTATTTGAAATAAATGACTACGGTACTAAACATTAAATCATTTGAAAAAAAATAATTTTGCAATAATTTATGTTGTCATTTTAAGATTTCAGTGTAAGCTTGATTACTACAGGCTCTTCACAATGAAATTAAGTTGTATAAATGGTGTCACATTGTTTGTAATTGTGAAACTAGTATAACAATACTATTGTCTAAATCTACAGAAATTGATCACGTTTAGGTAATTGAAATAACAATGTGATTATGTCACTAGGTCACCTGTAACTTATCTCTTGAATAAGGACTATGTGGGGTATAAGAGAATGCTTACTACAGGCTCTTCATAATCATTTTGTTAAATAATTCTACAAATAAGGGAAATAAATTCACATATTACTTTGAATATTGTAGATTGTTCAGGTAGTCTTGAGCTATTTCTTTGTACAGCAGAACAACTAGTAGTTATTTTCACTTCACACACATATATATATATATCTTGACAAACAAATAAAAACGCTATAGATTGTGGAAACAATTCATATCTATTCTATCAGTTACCCTACCTACCATAAACTGAACGTCGCCTAAGATTCAGTAGGTAAATTAAGTAAAAATCAAGACTTGCATCAAAAATATCCTAATATGAGAGACAATGGCGTCATTTTTACTTAGAGCTTTCAGCTCTTTGATTATTTGTTATGCTTATAGCTGCATGTAAATACAGGTGGTTGAGATATACATGTATTATTAACCATAATAATAATGTGATGCCCGTCATAATTACTTTCATCCTGTTTTTCAATATCCTAACCCACAGCACTTACAGTGCTTTGATTTGTTTTGCTAATAGCTGCATGTACAATTGTTCACTTCGACTGGCTTATCAACTAATTTTAACCATAATAAACATTCATATCTATTTATTCACAACCACATCAACTTGATTTTAATTATTTCCCTCATTGCTTGCTTGCCTCTGGTAAAAAATTTAGGTAAACCCTTAATAAATCTTGTAACCAATATCTAGAGGTATTTAGCGCTGAAGATGTTATACAGGTATTCAGCGACTGTGTAGGAGCAGCTGTGTAAACATGAATTCTGCGAGGAACATTTTCAATGAGGATTATATTGCTGTTTAGAAGTTATGACCCTTCATTGGCTTCAACATTAAAGACAATAATAAATGAAATAGAAACCTTGTTTGCAGTCATTTTGACAGCACTTCATATTGGATTGCTGTAATTTGGCATATTAACTCCATGGAAGTAGGTTCTTACAATGCATACACAGAAAATCTAGCACTTTCTTTCCAATCAAATTCATTGTCACAAAGAAAAGAAAAGGTTTTATTAGAGACAAAGTTGCTTCCAGTTACACAAAAACACAAAATAGTTCAAAGTGATGGTTGTACAACTATGTATATTAGGTTAAAATACCCACTTGATAAATCTAATGGAGTATATAAATGTAAGTCAATACAAAACTAAGCGCCTCTTTAAGTGGCCTAGATCTTAAAAATAGAAAAAGCAAAAAAACTGCATTAAAAAAAAGTTTTTTCTGTTCTGTGCTTTCCTTCAAAACAAGTAGCCAGCTAAAAAGCTAAAATAAATTATAAAAGTTTATTATAAAAACTTTGCTTAACCATGTTGGATACCTCAAACCTTTTGATTCCCATAGCATCCAATTTTTGTTGCTGTTTAATATATCATGTTCACAGGTATCTATTTCCATGGTTCATAATACATTTTGTGTAATAAGTCTAAATATATTATACTTTCAGTGCAGTTTTTCAGTATACTTTTTTTGCATAGAACATCATAGAATTCCTATTCACAGTTTGTAGACATACACTTCATGTCTGTCTGTAATAGCCACAGCCATTAGTCCAGATGGTGTACAGGCGACATCGATTGGCCGATCTCTGTTGTCGTTTATGTCTAATAGTGTTGTTACAGTATCTCCAGTCTTTGAGAACATTACCACCCGATTATTCCCAGAGTCTGCAACAATGATTTCTCCCTCTTTTGTAATTGCTATACCTTTTGGATATTTCAGTTCACCATTGTTTGATCCAAAGTCCCCCATTTTTTGCAAAAATTTTCCATGTTTATTGAACATCTTAATCTGATGGTGACCTGAATCTGACACATAAATGTTCTCCCTGTCCGTTTCTAAATATGAAGGATTGTTGAGGGATGAATTGGCGTTCCCATAGCAACCAAATTGTAAAACTATTTCTCCTGAAGGTTTGATTATACTAAGTCGTTCATATATCATATCAGAAACGGCAAGTGTCCCATCGTCAAGGGCAACAATGCCGTAAGGAAAGTGTAAGCTGTCTATAGAACGAGTTATAATTGTTTCTTTTTCTTTGCTGACCATTTTAACACATTTATCAAATTCATCGGTTATGTAAATTTCATTTTCACTTCCAGTGGTTATACACCTTGGATATCCAGTTTTTAACTGAATGCATTCCAACCAGTTTCCAAATGAATCAAATTTTTGAATGCATCCTGATCCATTTTCAGCTACCACAAGAATATCATTCTTAAGAAAAGAAATTCCAAATGGAAGATTGAGACATCCAGGAGTTTGTCCAGAGCCTCCAATTTTAAACAAAAATTTAACCTTCTTTGTTTTTTCATTTTGGTATTTTGCTGGATCATATGGTTGCCTTGGTAATGACAGTGCTGATAAACGGTGAATGCATCTTCCTAAAGGATTCTGGTTAGCAAAAAAACCTTGTAATTGGTATTTATGGTTCACCTGACAGGTATATAATGAGTTGTGTCTCCTTACAAAGGAAGATTGTAAAGAGTTATTTGCTCCTGGAATTTGTACTTTTGGGGAAAGATAGGGACGATTGCTACTGTAAGTAACACCAAGTTTACTGTTTTGAAAATTTCTGTATGTCCCTTTGTTGTGTGTAACTGCATTGAATTCAGGACCAGGCATAACAGGTTCAATCTTCACATTGATGTTCAGTATTTCATGCAAAATTTGAGAATGAGAATTATTGAGAAATTGTGAATTCCCATTTCTAATTATATTTTGCAGATTGTTTTGAATCATTTCAAACTGTTGTAAATACATATGACACCTATCTTTCTCTTTCTGTAAACTTTGATTTTGTTTTGTTTGTGGATGACATAGTTGTGTTTTGCTAAGTCTCAATTGCTTTGTTCTATGAGAGCAGATTTCATTCACATAGCTACTTCTGTTTTTACCTTCAAAGCTAGTAATATTGAAAATTTGATCTTTAAGAAAAGATATTTGGTTCTCTACATGTTTCAAACAAATTGTCATCTCTTCCCTCTCTGCCACATTTACATCATCGAGCGATGAAATGAGATGTTGTTCGTGATCCCCTAATACACAATGGAGACAGATACCAAAGTCACATGATCTACAGAAGAATTTGATTGGTTCTGTTATATGGTTTTCACAGACCCCTGTATTTTCATCTCCGTTAAAGACATCACTAAGAATGTGAGAATTTAAAACTTTAGACTTACAGTGTTTAACGCTACAGATGTTGCAGAAATACTTTTTACACTCAGAGCAGTATTTAGTTGCCAGGGCAACCGTTTCACATAACTCGCATGTGGATTTTTGTATTTTTTGCTCCTGTTCTGAAGCCAATAAAATATCATTCAGTTGATTTATACGGAAATCTTTTGGAAATCCCCTGACTCCTTCCTTAGGTATTAATGTCGGTGTTCTGCATGTTGGACAAGGTATCTGGACTTTAGATGTACCCTTAGAAACTTTGACAGTATGTATATGCTTCTTAAGACATTCCTCACAGAATGAATGTAAACATGGGAGAGCTCTGGGTGATAGTAATGTATCCAGGCAAATATTACACTTCAGAAGATATCTCTTCTCAGCACTAGCCATCACAGGTACCAGTTATGTTCCAATATTATGCTTCAGAAGAATCCCTTGTAAGCCTTAGTTTCACAGTTTAACATTTATTTTTTCTATCATATATTTGGTAGCATCTTCACACAGAATGAATCCCATAAGTTTTATATTGCACATTTTTGTTAAATGTGACTATCCACGAAAGTTTTTGTAAGTTCTCATATAGCGCTTTTTTCTAGTTTTTTCTATCCATATCTGTTGTTGTGAAACATTGTAATTTTATGAAGACGTGGACTTACATGCACACAAGTTAATTTCCTCAGTACAAATGATAACAGGCCTACTACATCAGTATGTAACAGTCAATACTGATGACAAATTTTTTTCTGCTGATGATAGTTCAATGGGGCCGAAATAAGGGTCTTTAATCTAGTACTTTAAAAAAAAAATTGATACATGTTTTGAAAATAATTTAATTGTTATAGACTCATGATATGTAAATTGTTTTGATATCAGAAGGAAATATTTCTTAGGGTTTTTCTTGATGACAGATAATTATTTCCCTATATTGAGCCCCAGATGTATATAAGGATAAGTAATCTATACCTGATGTTACTTACCTGTGTGTGTCAGCTGGACTCTGGTTGTAACATAAAATATACTTATCAATAATTTTACATCAATTGCAGTCATTGATAAATATATTAATTTTATTATGTTACTTTTTTCCTATTCGTAAAACCCAAATTTGATTTTTTTTTAACTTTAATAAGTGAGTAATGAAAAACAGCAAACATTGGATTCATCAATAATTTAATACTGGTATTTTTTGTATCCTACTAACAAATGTCAAAATTATATACAATTGATAAATAAAAAATTTGTTTAACTGGGATTATTTTAATTTTTCTTCAAAATAGCTGGATATATTTGAGCATTATCTAATAAAATATTTGTATTCTAATGGAAAGTATCAAGTTCTTAGACTCAATAAGGAGTAGGATTTCATGACACAAAATTCAACAACCATAAAGCTGAGGAACAGCACTTTTACTGCTGCTCTTTATCTCACTGTAGCCTGGGATGTGATAGATTCTATCCTATACAGTAGATTGATACTTTTTAATCAAGCAATGAAACTGACAACAAACCAACAATAAAGGGTTTTCAGTCCCATAACACATTCTATATTTGTAATATGAATTATCAGTGCACCCTGTTCTGTTTAGAGAAACTGTCTAAACAGTTTTTAGTGTAAAGATTCATGAATTATCAATAATATTTAATATTTGACATGTGCCCTTCACAGTAATATTCTACACATCAGCGAAACATTCAAATGATAGATTAGGATTTATACATAGTTTAGAACATTATATATCAGTTTCCTGCTATTGGTATTCATTGACATATCTCCGTATCTGTAATAGACAATATTTGAATGGGTGTGTATTTAAATGATAAATGTGATCAAAGGGTAGCTAGGTTTGCTAGTGGACATTAAGCAAACAACAACAGATCATTTATCAACAAGAAAAAAACTATAAACTTTGAAGAATTTCAATGTTTAATAATCAAGGTGTATTTCTAAACTTTTATATATGTGTGATAAAATTTAGTAAAATTTGGACTTTGACGTATTATATAGTTCACATTTTGTTTATATTGTTTATTCAAAGTAATTTCTATGAGAATGAAAATGAATTGGTCTAAATTTACTGTTTCAAGCTCATTTCTTGAGCATGCAATATTTCAATATATACAATATATGCCTAGTCTAGCTATTGAAAAAGGATGGCAAAATAAAAAACTGAAAAATTGGTAATGATGATGATGTGAATGTACAGCAAATTCACTTTTCTGTATCATACGGTAAAAAATATCTCAGACCTTTTGATAGATTAAAAAAAATATTTGAATTCATGTTTAAATATCTGGACGTTTGGTTTGGATTACCCAATGTTAGTAACTTAACATTTATATATGTCTTATTTTTGTTTAGATCATGCATTACCAATAACATGATGTATAACTGTACATTGATTAATCTTACTACATTGGTTTAGGTGAAACAAACAAAAATGATTGGTTTGAATAAACAAGTTTCCTGCTCTTGGTATTGATGGATATATTTTTGTATCTGTAATCAACAAGATTTGTAGGGACGTGTATTCTTAATAGATAAATATGATCAAAGGGCAGCTATGTTTACCTTTATATAACTGGTCAAAGTACAAAACAATAATCTTATCCAGGTGTTAAGACGAGGATAGCTAGGTGACTTTTTAACCCTGGTATACTGTTGGTAGATACTGTAAAATTCAGAACTAAATACATGAATTTATTATTGGTAATCACCAATTACTGGTACAAATGTGAGATTGAATTAATGTGACCGCTAAAATTTTGTAAAGGAAAATCACTACAGAAATTTTAATATTCCAACTTTGTGTCATTTTTCGCATTAGTAAAAACATCGCAATAGTCTCTGAATTCTACAGCAATATAAAACAATCTTATTGATGAGTCAACTGGGAACCCCTCTTTTTTTTTTATGATCAATGCATTTGAATGGGGACATATATTTGGAACCCCCCCCTCCTTTTCTCCTGGATTGGAACACCCCCCCCCCCCCCCCCCCACCCCATTCTTTAAAAAATGGCAATAAGAAGTGTATTTAACTTTATCGTAATTCAATGATACAATTATTTAAATCCATTGTGTAAGAAGCAGCTGTTACGTATCATTGTCAATAGATTTGTGAAAATTTGATAAATAGTGTATTAAAACCTGATATAGTATAAAATATGTCTTTTCAGATATTATCAAATGAATATAATTGTATGAGAAAAAAAACCTAGTGGCATGCTGGTATCACACATGTCACTTGAAATAAATTTCATCAATTATTAATTAAAAAACAAGGTATTATTTGAATCTTGTATAAATTTAAATTCTGGTGAAAGTAACATAAACCTTAGCCATGAACTAACCCTCTTTAGTTAGGTAAGTTTTCATCATACATTTCTTATCAATTTTCAGAATTCAATATTATTCCAGAATTTAAATATTTCCTTGTTAAAATATGTTATTACGTCTTTATGTAAAATGTATGATTAAAAGAGGATGTGGAGTAAATGTCCCCAAGCCAGCAACCCAAAGACAAAAATCATTAAAAGAGGAGATCTAGAGGGTATACTGTCTTCGCAACAATAGATGATTGTCTGTTCAATATGTCAAACTCTCAATCTTACAAAGTATCTGACAGTTGTGTTTAGTGAACAGAAACTATCTAAGACCTGTCATCAATTCCAAATTCTCTGATTAACAAAACATTAAGATTTGCTATTAAACAAGCACTGACTACATTCCTGAAACTCTTTCACAAAAAGCTTACGATTGATATTGATTTTGTTAGCTATACTGAAATATGTATGACTTACAAGTATTTTTGCACTTAAGATTTTTTGTGAAAAGAGCTGCTGATTTAGGACGGGCCCGTTTATATTTGTTGGGGTTTAACTAGTTGATATTCTTTACAAATTTTTTTTTTTTTTCTCACAGCTAAAGGTATAGGCAATGTGATTAATGGCCATATTGGCCCTTAAACCTGTTAGTTAAATGAGTTAGATTAGTACATTATAAACTATCTCAGATTCTCCGAGTCAAGTGTTGAATCTATGTATTTTAATTAAACACTACAGTTTTTGTTTAAAATAATACCTTTTGATAGAATATACAGTCAAAAAAAATTACAGTAAATTCAGGTAATGGAGATATTATGTAAAGTCTTGAATATTTTAATTTAGAAATAATATAGAGTAGATTTATTAAAAAGCAACAGGTGGCATAATCTTTTCAATTTTAATAAATTATGATTTGACAGTTTTTGGAGGTCCATGCACTGTTTCTTTTTTAAAACAATATTTTACAATAATTTAATTTTGGAAGTAACATGTCTTCTGATATCATTGGCTGAAATTTTTTGGCTATCAGCTCGTAGACATAATTTTGTCATATGACCGTGACGTCATCAACGTTTTTTCATGATTTGATTACTCCTTAAAAATAGAATTTGGAATTAAATTATAAAGGAATGACTATTTTATTTGAAATAACCTCAAAAATGTGGTGCACACTTTTAAATAACCTGTGTATATTCAGTGTGTACCAAGGCTTCCAAAACGGTCATATATTCCGGACATTTGTATAATGTCCGGTAAAAGTCCGGCTGGGCAAAGCATGAAACGGTCATCTACTTTTTTTTCTGTCTATGAAGAAATAACATCAAAAATGTGGTACACAGTCACTGTGTACCACATTTTTGATGTTATTTCTTCATAGACAGAAAAAATATTACAGTCATTCCTTAAATATTAATTGCACTATGAATTTAGCTCTTTCATTAGATAACAAGATAATGAGATAGGTTACACTTTGGCCTCCTCTTAAATTTTCAAGGTCCTTAATACAATTTATTATACTTCATGTCAAAATGCCAGATTTTGATTGGTTAATACGAGGGAGACAATTTACTCTATCCTATGGTAAATACTATATTACCCTTCACATAGACGAGACGCTTGATCAAGTGTGCGCTTTATTAAATACGGATGGTTGTTATGTACAAGACGTCATAGTTTATTACTTTGAATTTGAAATATTAATAGACAGTAATCATTGTAATAACAGAATATTCAGTATAATAAATTAAATAACACATATCTGAGAGGGTGATAGAGCAGATTGTTACCCCTCGAAAAGACATTGTCAACCTTGGCTTCGCCTCAGTTTACAATGTTTTCTCGGGGTAACAATCTGCTCTATCACCATCTCAGCTATGTGTTATTTATATAGTAATACAAGCTATGCAGTACCCTATATTTAGTTTTACATTGTCAAAATTACAATTTGCAGTTTTTCTCTCTCTTTAACTTATTGTGCGTGTTTTCCCTATATAATATGTATATATATAGAGAGAGATATGAAAATTTCATCTATCTCTACCTTCAATCAATACCAGTGGCAATATAATTTTACTTTATTTTTTCAAAAGCCACGATGATGAAAACTATGATAAAAAGTCATATGCTCAAAGTTTTATGGATAGCCTTATTATAATTGATTTTCTAATTAAAAGAAAAATTCCATGTTTAGTTTTTATTAGATTTCTAAAGGATCACACAAAAACAAATGGAAAGTCAACAGTTTTGGCAGTTACTATAAGATATATTGATCCTCCGGAGAGATTACCAAAAAGGATTAGGAATACCATTTACTTATACCATGTCCATTTCTGTATTTTCAGAGATGAAGGCTTATCTGTGATACTTTATGATACCGGTAACGATGAGGATGTAAATATAAATGAAGTCATAGCAACAGCAGTGATGGAGGAAACAGAGGCTAGAATGATGGCTGTAGGTGACTTTCAACCAGCATCAATATCAACGGAAACTTCCCCAGTGAAAGGGTTGTCATCTAAATCCAAGAATTTAGAACAAGCTTTAAATTCTTTGAAAATTTCTCAAGAAAAAAAAGCCACTTCAGACATTAATGAAGAGGAAGAAGGGGAAGAAGAAAATGGAGATTCTGAAGGATCATGGGAAACTGAGGAAGAGGAAGAGGTTGTTCCTGTTAAAGGAGCAATGAAAAAAGTGAAGGATAAAAATAGTAACATGGTCAAAATTAGCACAAAGAAAAATGTGACTACTTCTGACGAATTAAGTAATGTACAAAAATCAAAATCACAATCACCTGATTCAGAAGGTAAAAACTTGTATACCTGGAAGAAATCTGGTCAAAGGGGGGAGGCTTCAGGTGTGGATGTTGATGATGAGATGTCATTGTGGGTTCATGAGGAATATTGGAAACGCCCTCTTCCTCAGCCTATGAATATTCCAGAGAGGGGAGATTATATCGATTGTCATGTATCTAAAGTATTTGATCCCACAAATTTTGTGGTAAGTATATTTAGTTGATACTTCATAAAATGTTTTATTTACTGAAATCCTAAAAAAATGACCAGAATAAATGAGGAAGTGTAAATAACAATTTTGTCAACAAAAGAACTACCGTAGAAAGGCTTGTATAGTCCGCGGTTTTATTCTCCAAAATTGGACCTTCCAGACGGGGTGCGGACTATAGAGTACAATAAGCAAGAAATAAGAGAAAAATTTCAATTTCGCGGTCGAGGTGGTTTGTTTACGTTCCGCCATCTTTGTTATTTCTATTGTAGAGGGCGCTCTTATCATTTTTCAAACTGATAATTTTAACTCATCCATATTAATAAGTTATTTCTATTCAATATCAAATTAATACTGATAAATATAAAAACTAAACCTTTCATTACAAATTTCTCGTTTCTTTTCAATGCATTGGTTGAAATAAACTGGTATCTGCTCGAATGAAACGATACAAACATAGTGAAAAAGACAACCGTAAACCAGCTTAGAATTTGTAAACTACAAAACGAAATCGGTTATTGTTCGTTCCGTTTTGGTGTTTCATACTGACTAATATGGTTTGTATTAGCTTAAGACCCTTCAAACATTAATGTGATAGATATATTAAAGACTGTTTTACAAAAGGATGGAACTGTTTTACTTTCAAAGTCGTATTATAGTGATATCTGTTATGTACGGATTTCGACTCTCACCGGTTAATTTCTTCTTTTACACGTGCTTTTTAAACTTCCTGTTTAAACATACACAAGTTTCTAAAATGTTTTTTAAGTGAATTAAACTTATTTTAACAATCATGAAGCGTTCTAGAATCATTAACAAGCAGTTTCAGCTTCTGTTTGATGATGGAAAACAGGTTTTTCCAAGAAAATACCGAAAACGACCGCACAGGATTTGAAATTACCGGAGTTTCATTAGACCTTTTCTAACAGTTACAAAAAGTTTTTTTACCTAAAATTTCGTGGGGAGAAGGGGGTGCGGACTATGTACCACTGCGAACTATACAAGCCTTTCTACGGTATGCTTAAAATTTTTTTTTTTTTAAATTCTTGACCTTGACAAAAGTCAACTTGTTTGCATCTGACATACACAATTTAATCCTTGTATCTATGATGAGTTTATTTTCATGTATTTGTATCATATTGTAAATTGAAACTTTGCATTAACTTAATTTTAGTGAAACTATATCATATATTTCTGTTTCTTGAATAATTAATTTCATTGTTTCGGTATGTTCAGTGAAAAAACTTAAAAATTTGTATAGCTAAGTTTTTTGCAATTAATATCATTTTATGTAAATGTGTGGCATCATTTACAGGTCGCATCAATCTCAATATAGCAGTCATCAATTTACTGTTTACTTGAGAACTTTTTCAATTTTTAGCTCACCTGACCTGAAAGGTCAAGTGAGCTTTTCTCATCACTTGTCGTCCGTCGTCCGTAAACTTTTACAAAAATCTTCTCCTCTGAAACTACTGGGCCAAATTTGACCAAACTTGGCCACAATCATCATTGGGGTATCTAGTTTAAAAAATGTGTCCGATGACCCCGCCCCAAAACCAAGATGGCCGACATGCAACAAAAATAGTACATAGGGTAAAATGCAGTTTTTGGCTTATATCTCTGAAACCAAAGCATTTAGAGCAAATCTGACATGGGGTAAAATTGTTTATCAGGTCAAGATCTATCTGCCCTGAAATTTTCAGATGAATCGGACAACCCGTTGTTGGGTTGCTACCCCTGAATTGGTAATTTTAAGGAAATTTTGCCGTTTTTGGTTATTATCTTGAACATTATTATAGATAGAGATAAACTGTAAACAGCAATAATGTTCAGCAAAGTAAGATCTACAAATAAGTCAACTTGACCAAAATGGTCATTTGACCCCTTAAGGAGTTATTGCCCTTTATAGTCAATTTTTAACCATTTTTCGTAAATTTTTGTAATCTTTTACAAAAATCTTCTCCTCTGAAACTACTAAGACAAATTTAACCAAACTTGTCCACAATCATCATTAGGGTATCTAGTTTAAAAAATGTGTCCGATGACCCCGCCCCAAAACCAAGATGGCCGACATGCCACAAAAATAGTACATAGGGTAAAATGCAGTTTTTGGCTCATATCTCTGAAACCAAAGCATTAAGAGCAAATCTGATGAGGATAAAATTGTTCATTAGGTCAAGATCTATCTGCCCTGAAATTTTCAGACCAATCAGGCAACCCGTTGTTGGGTTGCTGCCCCTGAATTGGTAATTTTAAGAAAATTTTGCAGCTTTTGGTTATTATCTTGAATATTGTTATAGATAGAGATAAACTGTTAACAGCAATAATGTACAGCAAAGTTAGATCTACAAATAAGGCAACATGACCAAAATTGTCAATTGACCCCTTAAGGAGTTATTGCCCTTTATAGTCAATTTTTTACAATTTTCATAAATTTTGTAAATTTTTGTAAATTTTTACAAAGTATTTTCCACTGTAACTACCGGGCCAAGTTCATTATAGATAGAGATAATAGTAAGGAGCAAGAATGTTCAGTAAAGTAAGATCTACAAACACATCACCATCACCAAAACACAATTTTGTCGTGAATCCATCTGTGTCCTTTGTTTAATATGCACATAGACCAAGGTGAGCGACACAGGCTCTTTAGAGCCTCTAGTTTTAAAACGCAACAATATTTTGAATGGTGTCATGTAGTTATGTATTTCTATTACTACTTTATGTAAGTTGACCAATTAAGATATGGGATGTGAAATAACATTCAAATTTGAAAGGAAAAAGCCTTGTATGTAAGTCATGTAAGTGGTTGTCGATGTTTTCTGTTTGCCATATTTGTTTTTCTTCTAGTGCTTCTAGCATAAATCATGTAGTTGCTTTTTTCTAAATTATTTCACCTTTGTCATGCTGGGACCTTTTATAGCTTACTATATATGGTATTGGTTTTGCTTATTGATGAAGGAGACGCCATGCTCTATAATATTTCACATCCTTGTCCTTTTGTCTCTGATGGATATCATGTATCATTATCAAATATATTCCATCTTCTTTTTTATGCCCCCTGCAGCAGCGGATGGGGCATAAGAGTTACCCTTGTCCGTACGTACGTAAGTCCCAAAATAGTTTCCGTTCTCTAACTTTAGTTTGCCTCAACCAAATGTTATGAAACTTATACATGCGCGTAGCTATGTTTACGTCAAAACGCCCGGGCGTGCACTGGAATTTTGATAAAAATTTTCATTTTAATCTAATTAAAACAAGAATGTGTCCATAGTACAAGGAAGCCCCACTCGCACTATCATTTTCTATGTTCAGTGGACTGTAAAATTGGGGTCAAAACTAATGTGGCATTAAAATTTTTTAAAATATATCATACGGGACATGTGTACTAAGTTTCAAGTTGATTGGACTTCAACTTTATCAAAAACTATCTTGACCAAAAACTTTAAGCTGAAGCTGGACAGACGGATGAACGGACGGACGAACTGATGCACAGACCAAAAAACAAAATGCCCTTAGGTGGGGCATAATAAAAAGAACTGGTTAAACGCAAATAAGCCTTGTATTTCTTTCTTCAATGGCTTGTAATTGCGAATAAAAGTGACGAAATTTACTTTTCAACCAAATGGTATTATATCATATATGTGTTCAGTTTCTGTGAAAGTCTGAATCTACTGTGAATTCTACTCAGTTTCCTTTTATTTAAAGCAATTCATTATCTGCTGAGATGCGATATGTGGTTTGCATTTTTGTCGAACCTGTGTCATTTATTTCGCGAAAGTGAGATATAGCGATACTAAATTTCATCGGTGGCGTCAACATTTAGGTTCAGTATGTGGTTAAAGTTGTTTTTTTTAAACATTAATAATTTTGTCAAATCTTCATGAAATTTTACGGAAGTTGGACAGAAACTTTTAATGATCAAAAGAGTATCCAAGAGCATAATGATGAAATTATATGTTTAATTTTTTCGTATTTTACGGATAAAAGGAAATTCTTTTTGCAGTTATCAAGAAGATATAGTTTTGGGTTTAAAGTTTGTTACACATCTATTGTCAAACCTTCATCAGATTTTAAGAAACTTTGGCAGAAGCTTATTTATGATTAATGTCTGAAGCAAAATTTTGAAAGTATTTTTTTTTTTTTTTTCATTTTTTTCAGTATTATACTGACAGACAGACTTATCTATTAAGGCAATCAACAGACGATCCAGGATTTTTTTACATGATAAATTTATAAAAATTCATAGATTGTCATGAAACTATGGTACAAGTTTATATTCCAGATCAAGAAAAAACAAATTCTGTGATGGACTAATAAATGGACGAATACGAATTTTAATATTGTACCTTAACGTCAGTGTTTTCCATTCTGCATTTAAGCATGGTGTGCCGACCACCTTCTTTTGAAAGCCAACCACCTTTCCATTTTAGGAGGTGGTCAGCTTTTTTTCAAATTCCGGATTTTTGTCGGTTTCGCACCGTAAAAATTTAAATACTAATCGCGCCTCGCTGATTGTTTTCATTGACAAAAATGGCGGATCGTCAAATTTCAATGTTTTCTTTTATTAATCGGGGGAAGAGAAAGGCAGATGACAATGACGATGGTGATAAGGAAAATTCTAAGCTAAATAAGTCAACTAAAATGGATAGTTGTATTGGAATTGTTGAAATGGAAAAAAGTATCAAATCAACAGGAGAGGCACACAAGCGATCGCGAAGATAAACAGGTTGGGAACAATCGGTCAATCCCCCAAATGAGGGATATCACTTAAATGAGGGACTGTCTCTCTGGCAAGAGGTTATGTTAATTCTGTTGAAGAAAAGAAAAGAGAAAAACTTAGATTTTTTAACTTAAACGGGGATATTCGGACCAACTTTTCTAAAAGAAGGTCCCATTATTTTTAATGATAAAGAAGATATAAGTCCAGGAATATTACAAAATTCTTGGACATGTTTTGACCATATAATACCAAATAGATATATAGTTCTTTGGGGAAA